TTGGTTGAAAACCACATGCAAACGAACTACATTAGTGATTTCAAATGATCGGAACCGATCCGCCTTCAAAGGGTTCATCCATGAGATGATTTTTTTTTCTATAGGAACAACAGTCTACCAAGGGCGGATCCAGAACACAATTTTTTTGGGGGGCCAAAAAAAATTTGGTCCCCCAAAAAAGTGGGTCAAAAAAATTACGGCGTGGTATGAAGCCCGGGAAGGGACAGGGTGGATTTTTTTTTGGAGTTTGCTAATTCGTTCGCACGAATTACTAATTCGTTCGCACGAATTAGTAATTCGTGGGAACGAATTAGCAATTCGTGCGAACGAATTACTAATTCGTGCGAACGAATTAGGAAATTCCAAAAAAAAATTCCACCCTGTCCCTTCCCGGGCTTCATAGTATGGGGTTCGGGGCCCGCTTAAGGGCCCCGAAAGATTTTTGGATTCTAGATGCTCTGTGGTGTGATCTGAGGCAATTTCTGACCACTTTAACCAATGTTTTTTTGAGGAAAAGATGGTGGTGTACTCATTGCCTGCCTTTATTGCGATGTCACATAAAAAATAAAAAAAAATTGATTTCGTTTTTTGGGGGGGGGGGGCATGGCCCCCTTTGCCCCCCCCCCTGGATCCGCCCTTGCAGTCTACTCTACTTAATGTATGAAAACCATTTGAAATTCCTTTTTCGTTAATTCTATTGAAAAGTGCAGTTTAAACATTTAAAATTGTCCATGCTTTTCCAACTGAGAGCGCTGTTGCTGTGATCATCAGATGTTCAGTTTAGGGCTTTGTGATAAAATTGTGAACCCAAAATGTGTACTTTTATTGAAAACATTTGTGTTATGTTTGCTCATTGGCTTACTGCCATGTACTGACACAATTAAGGAATCACGAACTTAAAAAAGAATATTTAAAACAGCAAAATATTCCAAAATTCTGGCAACTTTTGGTGCTGAAATAGCTGTGTGACATTGACGTTTCTGCCTGAAATGACATCCTAAAAACCAAAAAGGCACAAAATACCCTTGAAAATGGAAACACGAAAAATGAAAATAAGGTTAAGGTACACAAAGGTGCACTAAAAAACCCATAATATTGCATGAGTAGGAAAGGGGGTCTTGATCCGGCACGCAAACAAAAGTTACGTAATAGATAAGATAAAGGGTGATAAGAGATGATAAGAAGCTGATAAAGCGTAAAAATAGAAGGGATTAGGAGGATTAGGGTGTGCATAAGGGGGTGAAGGGGGATTAGGAGCAGATAAGAGGGTTGTGTAACGAGATAAGTTAAGTTTGTGGTTTTAGATAAGTGTGTTGGTTCTGCCGTCAAAATTCTGCAAGGTGATTGGTCGGAGGATTAAAAGATAACCCAGAGTTCTGGAGCGTGGATTGGTTGAATCGGCCGAGATAACGTTCGGTGATTTTGTTCGGTGATATCTTGATGAGTGTCATTATCTTTCAGATGTAGGTAACTTGACAAAAAAAATTCCTTGTATTTGTTGAAAAAGATTCGCTTGACTGCCCAAAGGGTATTTCTGTTAGCCTTTTCCTTGGCCTGATCTTCACTCATGTCCCAGTTGATGTACTTTTCATATTTTTCACTCCACATCTCATCGATGGCTTCAAGGGACTCTTTCAACCAGTCTCGATATGCGATGTTGTCTTCCAAATCAGAACTAGACTCATCTTCATACGACATATCGTCATCTTCTACCTCAGTTTCTGATTCAGAATCGTCTGCCCCAAAATCATCGTCTTTATCATAAGTACGCTCAGTTTCATAGTTTTCCATTTCCGGATCTTCAAATCTACGACTTTTAAAATCAGGTTCAGAATTATCCACCTCAACTTCATCTATGTTAGATTCCTCTTCAGCATGTGCATTTTCGGTATGTCTCAAGAGGTTATATCTCCGTCCAAAGCGTTTGTCACACTGGTGACAAGCATAGGGTTTGACTGCAGAATGAACATTCATGTTGAAGCTTTGAAGGTTAATCTCCGAATGGTAAGAAACGGTTGAAATCATTTAATATATAACTACTCATTTCACTACTTATTTCTTCCTGCTCTTTTGATTACTCATTTACTCATTTCGCTGCTCATTTACTCATTTCACTGCTCATTCGCTCGTTTCTTGCTCTTTTGATTACTCATTTACTCATTTCGCTGCTCATTCGCTCGTTTCTTGCTCTTTTGATTACTCATTTACTCATTTCGCTGCTCATTTACTCATTTCGCTCCTCATTCGCTCGTTGCTCATCATTTTGACGCCAAAATCACCGAACGTTATCCCTCCGATTCAACCAATCCACGCTCCAGAACTCTGCGTAATCTTTTAATCTCCGACCAATCACCTTGCAGAATTTTGACGGCAGAACCAACACACTTATCTAAAACCACAAACTTAACTTATCTCGTTACACAACCCTCTTATCTGCTCCTAATCCCCCTTCACCCCCTTATGCACACCCTAATCCTCCTAATCCCTTCTATTTTTACGCTTTATCAGCTTCTTATCGTCTCTTATCACCCTTTATCTTATCTATTACGTAACTTTTGTTTGCGTGCCGGATCAAGACGGCCCCCTTCCCTACTGGCCGAAAATAACAAAGACATACGTAAAGTTGGCTTAATAATTAAATATGCAAACGTGACTGATTGTTTTTCGTTAGCCTATCTAAGGTGGCTCGTACGGTATTCGCCAATTCGTTGCGCACCTCTGTTTTTCTAACGTCGTTATCGCCGTACTATTTCGTTGCATGTCACCGTACTATTGCGTTATTATCGCCATACTATTGCGTTGTATCGCCGTATTTTATTGCGTTGTATCGCCGTATTTTATTGCATTATATCGCCGTATTTCATTGCGTTATATCGCCGTAGTATTGCGTTATATCGCCGAACTACAATACTATACAATTCATTTGCAAACAAACAACCCAGTGTTATTATAGTCCGGGGGTTGACCACGGAAGCGTGCATTAGGGTCCCGCAATTTTTTTTTTCCTATTTTTTTGTCATTTGAAATTATATCTCTTTTTTCCCCGCATCGTCCAATCGTACCAAACGAGGTGTCTAAACCGGCCATGTTCCTATAGGGTTAACGAATTCATGTATATGCAAATATATAGCCGCCGCCATTTTCAGCAATAATATTATAACATCCATTTATATATTTTCTCCGCAGTAATTTGTCTAATCGTAACAAACGAGGTGTGTAGAGCCATTTATGAAACGATAATAGCAAAATATGCAAATTATCTACCTCCATTAGCGTATATACAGTGTTTTTTCTTAATATATGTAGTGGGACGGCAACAAGGAGACCGGCCCTCTAGTTAAAGAGGACGAGCACCAGGGCAGAGGTTGAGAAGAAGAGCCAAAATGATCTGACTTTAGTTAACAGACGATTGGCACTTTTATTTACTCCAACTCCAAGATGTACCGGAATGAAATAAAAACCCCATTGCTGGGTTTCTTAGGGAAATGCTTTACCCCGCAGGACACATGGTCGTCATGGCAAAGCCATGCTGGCGAACGAAAATGATGAAAAGCGAGACAGAAATGTGTCTGTGATGTGCTTAATTGAAGCTGAGAATCTTCCCGAAAAAGACCGAGCTAGAAAAGTATACACAATCTCGAGGTGCAGATGACTAATCACTCGTCTGAATATTTATACGCTAGGGCAAACATGCACCTCGACAAATGTTCAACCAGACAATGACACTACAAGCAATAATCTTGGAATTACATGTATAAAATATTTGAATGGGAAGTATACAATTACACAATAATAATCCCTAATTAAATTGTGAAAGATGGACATAAGGAGTAGCTTCTCATGTTGTTGAAGAAGAATGTAAACCGTCCTGGCGCGGGAAGCACAAAGGTCACCAACAAAGTAATGTTTCATATAGAAACATGCAGATCAGATACGTCATCTACATAATAACATTGGAATGAAATGCAGAGGTCGCCCTTGCTCAGGCACGGTTGAATGCAGGATATCGTCCTAACTTATTATTCCAGGTGGCTAGATTCATCCTTTAGCGTCAATGATATTAATTGTTTTACGGGTTTATTGGGATTTCCCCCATGTGACACCCCCAACTATCCCAATAAGTTCACCCTTTGCTATGGCCCCCTAATGCCACATAAAAGAACATGTTTTTTTTTGTAATCAAAATAAAGAATACTGAAGATTATTGGTTTTGGACCAAACTCGATGAATTTCGGTCAGTTTCATTAACACGCATTCGGCATAGGAGATTTTTCCCTAATTCAGATCATAGAGCGATTGTTGGTATAGAGCATTAGTCATTAAATAAGTGATGCCGTACATCAAAAATCACTTTTCAAAACAAAAGTGAATCTGATGGGGAACTGGTAATCATTTTCATCTAGGGTGGTGGTTGAAATACGGGAAACCTAAATAGGTTGGAAATGTTTCACACATAATTTATTATATGTTTGGGGAAAAAAAAGGTGTTTTGTTGCGTCTGTTGTGTTTTGAAACAGAGGGCACATACATGATTCTATACCAGGCTTAGGAAAGATCAGGCCATAGTCCCTTATACATTGTAAATCCGTTAGAGCCCCTATGAAAACAATTCCCGCAACCATAATTATTTGCCACAAAATTAATCCTTTAAATGTCAATATTTTCTGAAGTTCAGAATTTTAAAAATAGACCAGATAGAACTACCTTCTGCCCATCCCCCCCCCCATCAAAACCATGTCAAAATAATGACGGACAGTTACTTTAAATGTTTTTAAATCAGAAGGACACATTTAATGCATTATTATTACATAGACTAAGTTCCGCGCCGGTAAATGAAACATCCAGCAAAATTTCTGGCCCGAAACATAGAACAGCCGTTAATATAAAGATAAAAACATTAAACGGCCGTACAGTTTAATGTCTGGCACCCTACCTCGATTTGCTTTTGGCAGCAACCACAAAACACGGCTTTCTCCTTTCTGTGCTCAAATCTGTGAAACCGTTGTAGCTGGGTAACCGACTACAGCGTTAGCACACACAGCAAGACATCAAAACTGCGAGTTTGGCGCTCAGTAAATCCCCGAATTTTATCCACCGATAGTCTCTGTAAATTCGCCAGGATTCCTCGTCGAAAGATGCCGGTAGCAGAGGACACCGCGGAGAGTGAAGCGGAGGATATGGAGGAGGACAGGAGTACTCCTGACAGCGAAAATGACGACGATGATTCCGATATGGACACATCGGGTTCTGAAGACAGCTCGGGTAAAAACAAACACGCAGAAACACTATGGATTTTACAATGAACACGTTCTGATATTGACAATGCACGACATGTTTTGTGTCATTCGTTTGTAAACTGTATTCATCTGGGAATGATCATGAATCAAGCTCTTAATGCGTTAATTTAATTGTAACTGGGCCTGAATTGTTTCTTTTCCAGTGATTCCAACCTCGTAGTACTTCGTAGCCAGAGAATTTAGGCATGTTAGGGGTGTATTTCCGAGTGGCGGGGTATTCTACAATTACTCCTTTATTCGTGCAGTTGTAATTTTCTAAACAAATATTGGGATTTTATGGGAAGGTTTGGTATGCTTGACAATTGGGGTACGGAGAGAATTCCATACATGGGCGATGGTGTAGTGTAGGGCCCCTGTTTGGTTTCGATCAAATTAGAATCAAGGATATTTTTTAGTTCTAAAAAATGACATTGTCAACCTGAAGCAGACTTCTCTCAGTGTAATGACACCTTTTTGGTAATTTTTGAACAGTTTCTTGGGGTAGAAATTAAGATTTTCCTACGCGGTTTACGAGCTGGTTGGTGCCTAGCCCCACTAGTGTGGCCGTCGGTATGCTGCGCTGAACCTTTGGCCACACACCGTGGTACCGCGCGCTACTGAGGACGAAGTTTTCATAAAAATTCAGGGCAGTTTCTTACATTCTCAGTTTCTTACTTTCTTATGGTTGTATTCTATGATGTCTCACCTGTCACTTCTGGGATGCTTAGGTCTAATGATGTTCCATTTTCCGAGATATTCTTCAATCTTTCTGGAGCCCATATGCACTCGTGAAACGTCTGGTGGTGGCAGCCATTTTGAATGTGACAAGAGATGACCTCAAGCTGTGACGTCGCGTTTATGCAAATTGCTTGTCGAGCGCGCGAGGGCGCGAGTTGCAAATGCGATGGCTGTTTTCTGTGCCGTAGATCCTGAATAGAGATCGGTGCACGTGGCCCCCTGACGATAAATGCATGGTACAGGAAACAGCCGTCGCATTTGCAACTCGCGCTTGACAAGCAATTTGCATACACGCGACGTCACAGCTTGAGGTCATCTCTTGTCCCATTAAAAATGGCTGCCATCACCAGACGTTTCACGAGTGCATATGGACTCCAGAAAGATTGAAGAATATCTTGGAAAATGGAACATCATTAGACCTAAGCATCCCAGAAGTGACAGGTGAGACATCATAGAATACAACCATAAGAAAGTAAGAAACTGAGAATGTAAGAAACTGCCCTGAATTTTTATGAAAACTTCGTCCTCAGTAGCGCGCGGTACCACGGTGTGTGGCCAAAGGTTCAGCGCAGCATACCGACGGCCACACTAGTGGGGCTAGTTTGTGCCGTGCAGCGCGACTTGCGTGCTCTCAGTACACATGGTACATCGCACGGTGATCGCCATCTTTATTTTCGTGTTGTGTTTTGTCGGTGTCATCGTCATTTTTACATCCACATTTCCCTCAAAAATTCAAAACCCTGCCCTTTATCTATGACATACTTAAATGTTCTTCATATCGCCAACTAGTTTGGTTGGTCAAATAATTTAAAGTGAATTTTGTTCCCTTATACTTAGGAACCTGGCCCATAGATATGAGATCGATCGCCCATACATGGACATCACCAATTTTTTCCCGCAGTGACCTATTGTGTCAGCCATCAGAAAGCGATAACATGTCCTAAAAAGTCAAGTTTAAATAGCAGGGAAAATATTGAAGCATTTACTAAAAAAACATTTAGAACTTTTCAGACCAGTCTCATAGGGTTTGTGCACAGGGTGTCAAGTGATGTCCAGGTATGGATTTTTTTCCTGGGGGACAATTTGCAGAATACCCCGCCACACATCTATCCCACCTTGTAGCCGGCAATGCGGTTACGGAGTCATGCTTGACAGCTCACCCAGAATACGCCCCTACTTCCCACTCCATATCCCTGTATCTGCGTATCCACTTCCCGGGAGCTACTTTGGACTTGGAATTTTTTTGATCCTCCCCATTCAATTTACATTACTGATTCATCCCCTTGGAGGATATTTCTTTGTAAAGGAAAAATAGTGCCCTCTTTCGCCCCTCCCCGACTCAGTCCCATTCCGTATCCCTGTATCCGCGTATCCACTCCCCTGGAGCTACTTTGGACTGAGACTTTTTTTGACCCCCCCCCCTTTCAATTTACGTTGTATATGTACTGATTCATCCCCTTTGAGGATTTTTTTAAGGGAAATAACGCCCTCCTTTGCCCCTCCCTGACTAAATCCAGGAGCGAATTTGGACTTACACTTGTTTCTAGCTCCTTCAACTGCATAGCCATTGAATATTAGGGGGTGATCTTCGAGTGGCGGGGTATTCTGCAATTACTCTGAAATTGGATTGACAAGTTTTAAAGTTACTCAGTGGCTCTTGGTATTGTATTGTTACGGCAGTGACTGTCAGGTTCCCTGACCTAATAGTATTCAATGTCAGGATATTTGGCTCTTTGAACCAGACCTTCAACCGAATAATTCTCTGATTTTATTTCCCTTTAAACAAAAATCCTCCAAAGACACAGATTACAAAGACGAAAATAAAATCTACTTCAAATCAAAAGTAGGATTCGATTAAAAACTTAAAAGCAAAATGAAACTATTAAGAAGAAGGAAAAAAAAAGTTTGTCATAGAACGGATTTAATCCCGGGACCTTCAGCATAGTAGTCAAGCATTTAACCAATCGAGCTACCAAAGCACTCCAGTAGGGCAGTTATAAATATTATATAGATTCGCAATGGTGTTTTTTGCAATGCCGTAATGGTAGCAGATGAAAATCGTATTACGGCTGCCGTAACGATAGTCACTACATTTAAAGAAAGGACATGGTAGGCCTACTTTGCACTTGCCTTGAGAAAGCATTATTCTGTATTCTTTATTTTTATCTGTCTTCCTCTCTGTTTTCTGTCAGCCGAAATTATGGTGACTTCAAAATATTGTATGAAAGTAGTTCATAAATCTTTATTTTAATAGGGACTAATTATTTGCAGAACTTACTTAATTATGAGTGTTGAGTAAAATTTTACAGTCACAGTTTCCAAATTTTTGTTGCAGCACCAGTGAACCCTTAAATAAAGAAATATGCTTTTGTATGTTCCATGTTCAGAAGGAATCTCATAATATACTCAAGCGAGAGCTTGGATCAAGGGAAAGACATGTAAAACTGATTTTCTTTTTCTACAGAATTTGATGAGGAAGACTGTGAACGTAGAAGGATAGAATGTTTGAATCACATGAACGATCTGGAACGTCAGTTCACGGACCTGAAGGAGCAGTGAGTACAACTTTCCTTGCCTGGCAGTTTCATCTTTAATCCTAACTCCCTAGGCATTTTTGCTAGGATGTAGCCTCAATCCTGCAAAATCCTCCAATTGGCCTCATGGAAAAACAGCATATAGCCCCAATCCTGCAAATTCCTCCATACATGTATTTCTAGAATATGTTCTCTGGAGGGGTGACCACTGCCTGAATTCTGCAAAATCCTGCGGCAGTGACTGTCAATATGTTGAGGCTTGGCCAGTGACATCCTGGAGCAGTACAGAGGATTTCTAGCATAATCCAGACCTACATGTATATTTATGCATGGCTGAGCAAAAACAACACAAGGTCGGGCCCAAGACCTTGACAAAGTGCATCCTACGAAATCAGTAATGCACTGTTGCCATGTAACCTCAATCCTCCAAATTCCTCCACTTTGGCACAGAGGATTTAGAAGGATTCAGGGCGGTTAGGGTTAAGGAAAAAATATAGTCTTAACATTTAGGACTCTCAATACTTTGTATTTTTGCTGCATAAATAAAAAAAAACCAGAAAAATATAAAAATATCACAAAGTTTCTTATTGAAGCCGCTCAAGTTTGGTTTCTTTGGGTTCCCATTGTGCCATTGTTGTGTGGTCTTTTCATTGTGATATTAACCATAGGCCACTGTCATTCCATTTTTCCTTTGATAAGCTGATTCCCTTAAAAAAAACACTCAAAAAAACAAGCAAAAGCTACGCAAAGTTTCATACAGCTGGGAATATCCTCTTTTATTATTATATTTTTTTTTTTGGGGGGGGGGGTTGGAGGGGGGGGGTGAAGGGGGGGTGAATTCCCACATGTATGTCTCTGAGCCGTAAATTACCTGATGAGAGTTGGGAAAAATAAGGATTCAGTGTTATTCTCATACTTGTACTCAAGTACTGTTTTGAGAATTAGTCGTACACGAACATCAAAATAATCCGAATCGAATCCACGGTACTTTTACTCATGAAGCAAAGTATTTGGACTGGAAACTTTGATATCATACTTGATCATCAAAACTTTAAAATAGATTCGCAGGTCCAAGTATTGGACTTGGATACCTGGACTAGTTCTCCACGGTCAGAGTACTCGGACTTGAGTTGTACCCGACACCTCAGCACTAGGCAGTTCTTTGTATTCGGATAAAAATAATCAACTTCGTTGGGCGCAAGAAAAAAAAGAGTTGTTTTTCCCATAACATTGACAAACAAAAGGGTGGGTGGGTGGGCGAGTAAATTTTTTTGGGTGTGTTTTGCTCTTAACTTTTATAGCCATAAAAAAAATTAGACGGGATGATGGTCGATTATTATTTAATTTTCTATATTTTTTGTAATGCATGTATTTGTAACAGTTAACATGTGAACCAAATGTACAAGCATTACATTCACTATGTGGACTTCCGAACAAAAGAATGTCCCCATAAACCAGCTTACAAAAACATGAAATAAAAATTTCCAAAAATTCAGGACAATGTCTGCAAAAACTAGGATGCTGCGGCACGTAAATTAAAGGTAAAAACTTAAAAAAAAAAACTTTTTCCAAAAAATTAGGTTCCACTTGAAGTTTTAGTTTGAGTGGGGTAATAGAACACACAGGTATTTGTTTTCTTGGCCTTATTGTAAGGATTTTAGTGGCTAGCAAAATATTTGCAGTTGAGTTTAAATATTTCTTGGCTGTGTTTTATAGGTTATACGTGGAGAGGGTGGGGCACCTGGATTCCAAGTTGGGCCAGGTGCAGAAGGGAGATTCCATGGACTACAAGAAGCTATCGGAGTTGGAGCAAACCATGACCATGCGCAGCCACATCGCTGGAGTGCTGCGAGAACTCCGACTCAACAACATCAAGAACAAGTACGAGAGCGAGGGCAAGGCTTCTCACGAGAATCACGAGGTTAGCCTGATCGAAAGTGTTCTCTCTTTGTTTGTTTTTGTCTTCTTTTGACTTGTGCTGTGTGACTGATATTTGAATTCTTCAATTTGAATACATTTGAGGACAAGAAAGGGCTAACTGTGTCATTTCAACATATAGCCTTTACCTTTTTTTTGGCCTACATAACTTAGCTTTGTGGCTGCTAAAAGAAAGGCCAGAATCTAGACTCCAGTAGTCTTTTTCTCAAGCTCTAAACCACCATATGCATTAACCCTTGTATGCAAGCACACATGCTGTGCCAAGTTGTCCTTTCAGTCAAAATCAATCAAGTGGCTGTTTTGTAACAATTAAGATCTCCCAGCCTACATAAAGCAGGATTGACTGGCTGTGACTGTTTATTCCCCAAAAAATAATAGTTCTGCTTCCGGTTACCCTACCTACCCTATTTTGACAGCCCCTACCCTAATTTTTTTGGGCAAAAATTAGGGAAAACCCTGAAAACCATCAATTACTACCTTTTAGTATTACCCTTGACTACACGCAGACACCTCCTACATGTATGTGACCGTACACAAAAATCCCCCCCCCCCCCAAAAAAAAATCCCTACTTACCTACCCTATTTTCAAATGCCATGTAATCGGAAGCTGAAGTATTTTTTTCTGGCCCTATGTAAAGTTACAGCTATGCCTTGACTGTAGGTGATTGATAAGCCAGCTGAGCCTACCACTTGCCTGCTTTGGTCTGTTGACTTAATTTGACTAGATTAAAATATGATCTGACAGTTGGTAAATAACCTGTGTAAAAGGCATGGTAGGGGAAGAGGATTGATTTTTTGACTGTCTGTGATTGTTCAGACAGTAGGAGGGTTAAAAAAAGTCCCAACTCTTGAGCAGCTTGGATTGTGAGAACTGAAGGTTGGTTTTCTTGTATTATTTTTCAGAGTGAGAAAATGCTCCTCAAGGATATGCTGAGGGCAGAGCTGGAAGAAAAAATCAGACGGCTAGAAGAGGACAGACACAACATTGATTTCACCACTGGTGAGAATGCAGAAAAAAATGAACAATGATTTAGCATCCTGAAATAGCAATCACAGTAGGGGCCTAGGGAATGTTTTACACGCTGCTTGATGCCATTTACAGTTTAAGTACAAAAATTTAAGATTACATTTTTTTTGCTCTGTGAAGAATTTTGGAGTATTACGGAAATTGTCAAGAAAACTGCTTTGTGGGTTAGGGTTAACGTAGGCATTAGTACAAATTCAAGATATTGAGCAATAACGAAGCCTCATTATTCAAGCTTTTTTGGTAGAAATTTGTGAAGTGTCATAATTACCAAAAACACTCCTTTAACTGCGCTAGTCTTCTGCACTTCACAACTCTTCAAGTTTTGCAAAACTACTTTTTCCCGTTGAGTTAGCACCCGCATTTCAAATTCCTTTGAGGTGATCTTCTGTGGAGTATGGATAACACTCAAATCTCACAGTTCAAGTGTGTGGATAAGCTCAGGGCAAGCAGGCGGATTCAGTCACGCTACACTGCTCTCCACAGTGCTGTTTTTGTGTGTGCAGTGACTCTCTGTGTGACGGTTATTTTAACACTTCATATCCCTTCACCTGAAACTGACCTGCAGGGTTTTGAAGGGTTTTGCAAGTTGCTCAGAATATTAACTTCCCACTAGGAAGGATAATTGTGTATTTGATTTGGACATTCAAACCAAAAATGGTTATTCATTAGTTAGTAGCAAGTAAATTACATGCATGGTTCAACTGTTTATGATGCATGTGCATGTTATTTTTTATCCTCAGAGCTCTGGAATGAAACACAGGCCCTGAAGAGCAAAGGGAAGAAGTTTGACATGACTAGCGATAGAAAGAAGAAACCTGTCACTGTAGCTGATATCCTTTTGAGTAGATATTATCTGTTTATGTTCATGAAAAGTATCACATCATTTAACCCTAACTCCCTGAGCTCTCTTGTCCAGAAGCAGCCTGAATCCTCCAATTTCCTCCAATGGCAGAGAGTTAAAACTCTAAGCACCTGAATCCTTCAAAATCATTCGTTTTCTGTTGCTGGAGGCCTCTGCCTGGATCCTTTGAAATCCTCCACTCGGTTAGCTGGCATGTTATCAAATAATCGGATTTCAATGCTCATATGAGTTCATTAGCCTGAGTAACTTATTGAAATCCTCCATTCTTATCCTGTATTGTGGATTGGCAGTGCCAAGGCCCTAAATAGCTGGAGTAAAAAGGCTGTACAATAAACAGTGGTATATGCTGGATGCCTGCCCAAGTAAAAAGCAAGTAACGTCCTGAATCCTCCAAAATCATTTTTTGGCAAAACCAGCCAGAGCCAATTAAAATGAGTGTCAACATAAACACAGCATTTGACATACATTAAACTCACGCAAGGTACATAATTAAATTAAGATTGCTGTTGTTTTCCTTCTCAAAACTGCTCACAATTTTCGAATATTCAAATTGGAAAAATTCTGTGAGGATATTTAGTTGATGATTGAATATTCGGTATATTAGGCATAGCCCTACTTTGCAGTAAGGCAGTTCAGTGTTTCAACTCCATCTGCACACATCCAGATTTGCAAAAAATTCATGTTGGGATTACCAATCTGCTAAATGCTTGCAAAATCAAAATCTGACTACAGTTTAAATGCCAAAAACTTTAGACTACGCCATGTTTTATGGTGTTCATATGCTGAGAACTATGTTTAAAGTTGAACTGTTAACATCTACCAATTAAATTCACGGAAAGTTCAGCATAAATTACTGAAGGAAAAAGCCTTAACTAGAACTCCACGACCATATATTATATACAAGCTGAGAGATCAAGAAATTCTGGAAGACTGGACAACGATCATGAAGGTACATTTGGTTCATGAGTTTCCCTGTAGACATGACCACTGAACACGCACAAGGCCCCCTTCAATGGAGAAACCATTGTGCACGCTTGTGTACAATAGCTAGCACAATGTTTTCGCCATTGAAGGGGGGCATCGTGATAGAATTGATAGCATGCCGGATTGGTCTTAACTTATATGGTTTCTGTATTAATTAAAGCTGCATTTGCATTGATGTTGAGCACTTTTTTTTGGGTAACTACATATGTGATGCGATCAAGCTAAATGTCGTTTGAGTCGTTTGTCGACCCTGGTCAATTTAATTTTTTTTTTTACAGATTTGAAAAGAGCACAATCTCAGCATTACTGCTGTCAAAACCGCATGCTGATACCATCTTTAGTTCAAAATTATGGAAGTCGGAACACCAAGAGATGTGATAAAGTGATGTGATGAAGTGGCCTTAATTTGGACTGAATCTCCAAATGAAAGTTCCCCGACAAACGACTCATTTAGCTTGATCGCATCACATATGTGATTGAAAAAATAACTTATTCAAGAACAAATTAACCAAAGATTACAAGTAAAAGAAACCTTGGATTAAACTGAGCATAGTTTTATGTGTATGGATGCTCCTGATTAAAAAATTACGAAACGTTTGCTACAGTGGAACGCCACTGTAACGAACATCGAGGGATCCACAGAAATTGTTCGTAATAGCGATCGTTCGGTATAGCGATATTAAGCTGCTGGTGCTCCGGTACTCACTTTTCAATAAATAGCGCTCTTCAGAACTTCACCCTACACACCTGGTAGTTATTGAAAAACAACTTTGAACACGTGCTGATTATTGAATTATGTTAACACAGTTTTTGAGCTTACTACCCTACAGCAATAGGTGGCCTTCCCCCTCCATTCCTTGGGGAAATAATAGCCACTTGTTGCTCTTCTGTTGACATTTTCCAACAACAATGTTCGGTACGTTTTGTGCACAAAATTCGGGAGCCAAGCACGATGTTCGGTACAGCCGAATGTTCGGTATAGGGACGTTCCACTGTACTTATTCATGTATTTAATTCAAATCTTCAGAATAATTTGGGTTGGCATAACCATGGAACATGATCAGTCTGGGCTTTCGAATATCTTGGCTTTCTAATGTGCAGATTGAAATTATCAAGAAAAATCTACACATCCAATGACTAGAGAAATTTTGGCTTGATACATGGACTGAAATATTGTTTGATTAACATGTCCTTTACCATCTGTCTTGTAATATGTTATTTGTCGTTATAGGCAAGGGGTATTAGCGCAAGGAGGAAAGAGGAAGAGCGTAAGTATTCACTTATTCCACTAAAATGTAACAGATAATTTCTTACAAATTTATTAGGGTAGCTTTAGAGCAGCCTTGGAGCAGTCATGTATTCAAGATGCATAAATGATGCAAATTTGTTTGTATTTGTGAAAGAATATCTTACAAAACATTGTTTAAAAACTGGTATTTGTTTGGAAAGCTCTAAACCTGGAAGCTTTTATCAGAGTTTGAAAACGTTCAACTTTTCTTTCATTGTTTACAAACTCGCGGTTAAAAATGGAGACTGTTTATGTTGGCTAAGTGCAAGTCAGTCTTGGCCACGTTGCTCAATCAATGGTTCAAATTATCCTTCTGCTGTTAAAATCATAAAAAATTATATTGTGTGTTGCAGAGTTTTTCATTCGCTGTTTTTAGAAAACAATCTTCTGGCTCGAGTCGGGATAGTTTCAAGACATGGTAAAAAATACTAGACAGGATTAATTTTAAAATGATGATAATGATGGAGACTCGGACAGGACCAGTGTCTGTGTTACTGCTTGGCCCTCATGCTGCTAACCCTAAAATGTCCCACTCTCTTTAGCATATTACAGTGCAAACAGTTCAAAAGGTATTGAAGTACATGTACTTTATTCTCCTAAAACAAAGCTTAAAGTTGCATTCTCTTCATCTTAAAATTTAATAGGCTTCAGAGGATTTTTTTTTTTAAAAAGAAAGAATCTTGAAAATATGTTTTTTGAACTGATTTTCTTATACAGAAGGTTTGAAATCCGAGAAGAACCCATACAGTGCCAGATACGATGACGGCAAGCTGTACTATGAAGGCAGCTTGTTCAACCGACGAGACCGTATTATCATAGAAAACAAGGATGACACGCCAGTCCTGTAAGTACCATGGAATTAACCCTAACCGGGGGCCAGTTTGGGGGGTTGAAACATTCCCCCCCCACCCGACAAAAAAAAGGGAAAGGGCGATCAACGTGCGCGTGCTGAGTGTGCTCTCTGCACACAGCACGCTTGTGCATGGCGTACTGTATTCAGACACACAGCGTGCTTACGCATGGCATGGCACACTGTATGCAGACGAGGTTGAAACCATAAACATGGCCGTCCGACATATTGATTTTCTTTTTGCTAAACCGTACCCCCCCAACCACACCCAACCCATGAAAAATGTCTCACTATTCTACTGCACGTAACATGACATGAAACCATGAATCACTTTGTCATCAGGCTAATTTTTCTGACTTAAAAAAAAAGGAATTTTTTTTTATTTGGCAAGTAAAGAATGGAGTGATGGAAATACGACGTGATTTGAGGCGTTTATTTTTTCAAGATAAACGGAACAACTTGGGAAGAGTTGGTGGATGCACTATGTTAAGTGACTAACTCTGACAGATTATGTGTGGTTCTCCGTGGTTACCACTGGATTATCTTTAAGCAGGACTGTAGTTTTAGGATTTATCACTTCATATGTGGTGTCTGCAAAACGTCTCCCAAGTTGTTGCTTAAGACAACGCATTTACAAACTTGCCAACATTTTTATCTTTTTAGGATTCATTCAAAAAAAAAATGACCATAAAAGGAGAAAAATTGCTATTTACACTGGTACCTTCCCAATTGAAAGTTTTGGAGGAAAAAGTGGATGCGGAGCCCATGTTCTTTTAAGCAAAATTAAAACAGGCTTATTCACTGTTGAATATACTGGACCCAACTCCATGGCTATGCTGAGAATACTGCACTTACAATCACCACTTTATGCTTATAGCGCTAGTCAAGAAATTCTTGTAAGCACAGAATTCTTACTTAATACTGGAGGTAAGTATGCACACAAATTCCTTCACTAACCCTTGAAATGGGCTTACCATAAGCGCAGAAATTTCTGCTTCACTTAGCAGAGATTTCTCGCTTAATACTGTAAGCAGAGCCATTAAGAGGGGCCCAGATCTTTAATAATAATAATATTGGTGCTTATTTAGCGCTTTCCATTGTATCAACAATCTCAAAGCGCTTTACAATTATTACCCCGTTCATCAGGCCATGGGACCACGCGGCAGCCGATATCAGCGCTCAATCGGTCCAAGACCCTCACAGGTACCCATTCATACTCCTGGGTGGAGAGAGGCAATTGTAGTTAAGTGTCTTGCCCAAGGGCACAAACACCATGTTCCTGGCAGGGTTCGAACAACCCATTCACTTACTTCACTTATCATAATGTTTTCGATTTTCTTAACAGTGCCACAATCACTGCCGTGAACACCGGAGAGGTCTGGGTGAGGCGAACGGATGGAACTAAATCTAAACTCTACATTGCCAACTTGCAGAAGGGGAAGTACACAATTCGCCACACATGATGGGTTCTTGAAGTGTTTCATCGTGCGGTTTCCAACAAGCCTTTTATTTGAATTTGGGTATTTATTGCGTACTAACTTTTTAAACTCAGTATTTATATGCGCCTCAAAGTTAGTCACAATTGGTTGAGAACCTGTTACATTGGGATGTTTAAATTGTTACAGGTAGAGTAGACTTTTTGCAGCTATCCAAAAATAAACTGACCAAAATATGTGAAAAAGCTAATTTGTATTAAAGATAGTAATGACTCTCAACTCCCTGTGAAAGTATTCCTTCTGGCACGCTGTCATTGTGAAGAAAACAACAAAAGAAGGTCATTTCCAAAGATGCGTCAAGTGACACATCTAAAATTCATCAGGTTAGTTATTAAGCATCCGTCTTTACGTATTGAGCACTTTTGTTTGCTCAAACAAACAAAAAGCACAAATGACAAATGGTCTACTCTACATTTAATTTAATGTGGCTCCTGAGTCAATGGAAATCATCTCCTTTCCTTATTCTGTGTCACCGTATTATTTGAAAATTACTTTGACATTTCATATTTTTTTCTCTCAGAAAAACAGACTTTGTCTTGCATGCACTTTTTGCAAATAGTAGGGCTGGAATCTGAGAAATTTGGAGGGCAGTCTGAGCTTAAAAATTTAAGATTTTTAAACAAATACATGTATGTAATGTAAAGGTTACTTATGTAAAGGTCACTTTTGAAAGGAACAAACATATTTTTGAAATCTGAAGGACTGCTATTTAAAGTGGACAATGTACAAGTATTATGTAACCAGATTGTTGAACTGAACTAAATGGGCCAAGATTTCACTTTTGTTGTATTTTCTAGTAAACTGGTATGGCATCTGTGCAGTGTTCTGAACTTGGTAATGCACACGCTAAGTAACTTGGAGTTCAATAGACCTTATGCGTTAAGGCGGAGTTACAGGGCAGTGGTTTTGTATTGCAGGGATAGACATGAGTAAACTTTTTGTGCATCCATTGTTACTATGTTATAATACTGAAGAACTCCCTCTGAGATACCTGCAGCGCGTATGGTCTATCCATATTCATATCAGTCACATCATATCATTTGCATATCATTTGCATTTACACTAATCCAACAATCACAATAAAGAGACGTTCTTGAGGTGTCACCTCACGCACTTGTAAGGTTTCAGGCATGCTTGCAGTTTGGAAACCCTAACAGTCGTAGGAGCATCGAGTGTCTATGTACAACTAACTGGCTACTGGCCTTGCTTTCTCCCTAACGCCAGTGGTTACTTAGTCTGAGTATCACTCGTTATCCACGGAGCCAAGTCTCCTGTATAACGTCTGATATGTCTACACATGCAGATATATGCAAGCCGCCTGCAAGCCAATCGGAGTCAGCTTTACTAAAATCGTCACATCATTTCATTCCCAAATCAGGACTAAAACTGTGATTGGTCAATTTGAATGCATTGTTTTGTAATACAACAGCCGCGCATATGTCGTGTAACATAATACAGAGCGCGTGACCACGGCCTTTTGTTGCTGTGTCTAGCGTTTTTTTTATCCGTGTCTATGACGCGACAATGGGTGAATGACCGAAGACCCGACATAGAAAGCGCCCGCTGATTGGTCAAAATCTAGAGGTCAAGATGTGGTTGTCCTGCATAATTAATCAGCGAGTCGGTTCAAACATTATAGATAGACTAGTGTCTACTGGCATTAGGGGGAAAGTTTACCTAACACACAACTGGTGTGTGGCACACACAACTCCATTACAGGCACATGTGTACCAACCTTACCATCTTTATGTGGACCCGACAACAAAACAGGTCCACATAACGCAGGTTGTGTGTACCTTATATGGACTAAGCCAGGTCCACACAAGGTTTGGCCCTCTCAGGAAAACAGGTTTAGAGGCATTTTGGGGTTAGGGTCATCTGTCGCAAAATGAAGAGAAACACTTAAGAAAATCAGGATAAAATGTGTGGGTTGAGAGAGTTTTCACAGTGTGAGTAAAATATTTGTGCGAAAACAAAGGAATGTCCACATAGGGTATGTAATGTAAACATGGATGTGTATCAGTGTGCTACCTCCTCAGGTACATGGTTAAATGACATTAACATTGGGATGGGTGATGTGGAAGGGTAATGTTTACAATTCGGTCGATTCACAATGCAGTGCACCACCAAGCGTTTGCCACAGAGAGTGAACTTTTCAAGTTTATGGTCGACAAAACACGGCTCATTTGAATGAGTATCAGTAGACAACTTGAGCTAATTTGTTATAGATTCGGGCATAACGTTCTGCCGCCTTACAAAAAACACCATATTGATCAAAAGAAAACAAACGGGCAAACATATACTCGAATCATACGCTTTTGAAACTACTGACTGGAAAAACGAACATTTTCAAATGTCTCGCGCTGCGAATTTGTCGACCATCTCCCACAATGCACTGGGAAAAATGAAATCTCCATGGCAAACTCTTGGTGGCGCACTGCATTGTGAATCGCCCGAATTCTTGCAGTAAAATTTATCAGAGCATGTGAGTCTAGATTTGTTTAAAGTTAAAATATATTCCATGTTTGATCAGGAAGATGTAAAGAAATCAAGTCAAATGTTTTTACTGGGATTGGGAACTTTGTAAATATGTACAGCCAATTTTTCTTATTTGTAACTTTGGTATGAAAGAAGTAGTGAAAAGTAGTGGCCGGGGTGCACGGGCATATATGAAAATGGAGTTTGTAACATAAAGTTCAGAGTGCCTATTTTGAAATGAGGAACACCCTAATTTGGCCAAAAATGTGTCGATTATATGGACAGCTTCAAACCTTGTGCGTCACTATTTCTGTTTTTGTTCGTATTGTTTTGTTTTCTTGGGTTTTTTTTGGGGGGGGGGGTTGGGGAGGGGATTCCTTGTTTTTTTTAAACCAAAATTTGATATGAAATTGCAGCCATGAAACTGGTGATGAAATTTGAGCCCTAAAACTTTTTCAAAAAGTGCTTATTGCCTACATTTTTAGAGGGGCCGCCTACCAGGCCCATCTATTTTGACTATGGTAATATGTACATGCATGGTGGACACAAAGGGAGGGCGCTATGTAGAGTGGTTAAACTCTTTTGCATTTACCCAAATTTACCCACTTCACATAGCGCCTATTATGCCCAAAAGGCAAATGCTTGTAGAAGGTCTGCCTTTTTGATACTTCATTTATAGCAAAGAATATAAGGATTTAGGATTTAGGTGTGCATCACCACCATAAACTGGGACTATAAACAAACTAATTTAGCTAAAATATTCATGCAATTGGATTGTATGTTTGATTAAAGGCATATGGGCAATTCCACGATTACTCATGTTACATTTTTGAGGTACTTTTGAGATTCTTGGGCTGTAATTACCTTACTGAAAAGGTTTAATAACTGTTAAGGTTTAATAACTGTTATCCCCATGGTAGATAGAGTAGACCTAGACCTACCTAAGCACCAAAGATGACATCCAGAAAAATGTGTTATGTATGATAAACAAGACGCACAAAATCGGTTACTCACGTTATGAAAATGTAACGTGAGTAACCGTGGAATTGCCCATATAGGATCATTTGCTTTTCATGCATTTGTTTGCGGCCAATAATAACATCACTCAAAATCCAAAGAATAATGTCCAAAACCTGACCTGTTGAAGTTTCAGCTCGGTGGATATTACACTTTTTCAAGAAAACGGTGAAAAAGCATACACATCTTTTTGATCTCAAAACACGATTTTGTCAAAGGAACTGTTAATTTCTCCTTAATTTCTTCTAAATGACAACAAGCCAGATGGAATAATTTCATGGGGTGTTTAGTACCAGTATGATCATTAAAGCTTTTTGACAATAATTCACTAGGTTTTGTTTTGGGATAAACGCGAATGATCCTTTGTGCCTTTATGTGATAGAAAATTTCACCCTGTGTTTATACCCTTTTGAAATTCTGTGATTTTAGTGGCATGGGCTTGATTTTTGTGTGTGATTAGCCTACAATCATTTTAGACCACACAAAATGGAAACAATAAAATTGGGGCATATGTATTTTTGTTTGTGCATTGCATGTTGTCTTCTGTATTAAAGACAGTATCTAAAAAACAAAACAGAATGTCTCCATTGTCCTTTATTAGTGACCTGTTAATAGTTATCATTAATATAGCTCTATGCCTGTTATCAATATAAATGGGAAAACTAAAATTGCAATTCGATAAATTGCCGTCTTTTTCTAAGAATGTTCACACAACTTGTAGGGACAAATCTATCATTTCTGCCTTAGAAATCCTTTATTTCTACTTAAGAGATTACATTGTTTAGGGGAAACCTTGTTCATTGAAAAAAAAAGGAAATATAAAAAAAAATGGTTGACAAAGAGTTTTATACTATGTTACTTATCTAGTTTAGGTGTATTTTAAAATAAAAAGAAAAAAGAATGCAGACAAGGAATTGCAATACCGTTTAGTTAAAAAAGACCCACCTAAATATTGAAAGAAACATAAATTCATGCTGATATTATATTTGTTGGGGAAATAATACAAAAATACGAGCAACCCACCACATGCGGGGCTCTGTTATGGTCGTGCCAGAACTTGTACGAAAGAACTCCCCACCCGGTTGAGCCGATGCCTAGACGTATGATACGCACTGCACTAGCCGCAAACACTCTAGCGGAAGCCTATATTACACCCAATGCACCAAGGGACGGTACGGGAACGGACAGCCGTGTACGATGACTCTGCAACCGAGCGCTGGGCGTCGGGAGAGGCGGAGCTGCGGTACGGGGTAGATTCACTACAGGGCCACTCGGTACGGGACCACGAGTTAAGCGATGGGCTAACACTCTAGCGGTCAATCACTGGTTTGGTGGCGATGATTCACCCACACGACCGATAGATGTAATGACCGTACTAGTATATGAACGCCAACGATCAGTGCGATTTGAAATCACAGTTTTACCAGCATTTACCGCTGAATATCTTCCCTAATAAGCTATTTCCTCAATTAATGTTTACTTTTTCTGGATTATACTGTAAATTTCCTCAGCCAAATTTAAGGAAAATTATTTCCTACATGATTGGTGAGATAAGAGCTAACTTTCACGATTTTTTGGGTTGGGTTCGATAGATTGCTACAGCGAAAAGAAACACATAAAGCCTGCGTGAAAATAACCTGGCGGACTCGTTCATTTTGCCAAGGTTGCGGTAATAGTGATTAGTTGAAGGGAGAGATAAGTTAACAACACCTGCCTGTAAAATAAATCTATTTAAGTGTGTTAGTGTAGTGTTAATTTATATAAGGGGAGAAAATAATAGTATGTTTGTTTGAGTCGGTTGACATTTCGTACTAATACGAAAAGTAAATTACCTCAAAACACCCCTTCCTTAAAATGGTACGTGCAAACTTGTTTCGGTACGGTTCAAAGGTCAGCGGTCGTGTGACACTAGCGCAGCAGATCAGCTCACCAGAACGTGAAAATGAAGGGTGTTTTCGAGGTAAAATTTACACCTGACCTACGTGCGACTCTCAAAACTTGGGCCTGTAAAAGGTGATGTAAGCCCACTGACTGTAGGTTCGCAGCATAATGCAGGCTTAAATTATTGTACTCAGAATCTAAATAACAAGCCTAACGTGACATTTTGAAGAGTTTGACCGTGGTTGTGATTTCATTAGTTATGGTAATTTGTTGTGCACGCCCGGCCGCGCCGACTGGACGTAGCTTTGACAGGATGGTGAAAGGGGAGGGGCCGGGGGTGGTGGGTGGGGGGTCTGAAGGGTGGAGTGGTTGGGTTGATGGGATATTGTCATGATTGTAGATATATCCTTATTCATTACCACGCTACCGGTACTCTGTTAACAGTCAAATATGTAACGTTAAACTGTATGCTGGAATCAGATTCAGAGAAGGCCTAGTCCATGTAGTCCGAGAATATTATTTGTTACTATAGCCTAGGCCAAGGGAATGGCCACCAAAAAAAAAAGAGTCATACCAGTCGTCTCAATCAGTCTAGTCCCACTGAGACTAGACTGGTATAATTTTTTTTTTACTCCCAATTCAATTCAATTCAATTCAATTTATTATTAACCATCATGATTAAAAACATGAAAATCAACACCCCGTGTGTTCAAAACAGTTTAAAAGACAAGACAAATCCACAACAATTTATCAAAACAGCTTACAATCACACTCAAACACAATATGAATACAAACGAGTACACCATTATACAGTCCGATTTAAAATGATAAATCATCTTTTAAAAGTGAGTCCCAAGTCCCAGCTCGCTGCCTTTTTTTCATAGGCCTATATTTTCAATAAATTTTGCACTCATGTTGTCACTGTTGTCTTTTACATGTTTCCAACAAAATTGTGTCCATGTAGAAGTTTGGTTATTATGGCTCCTTTGGACACAATGTTGTATCAACAAAATAATCGAAAAAATTGAAGAATCCATCCACCATCTTGGAAAATCCGCCATCTTCTGAAAAAAATAACAATCGGCTCTTTCATTTAAAAAAAAAATTCCAGACGAGAAACTACTTTTACCCTTTTTACCCGACCTTACCTTAATACTCGCGAGTGAGTTAAAATCATCTTCTAAAATCTTGCCATACCGGTACGTGTAAAAACATGGACAGTTGGAACAAGTATGTTTATATCTGAATATCTTCTATTTCAATTTGTCAAATATACACCCCCCCTGCAAATAATAAAAAAAAAATACACCTTGAAGCAGGAGTAATATCACTTTGTTGGATTTTTCCTTTCATTAACAAAGAACTTCAGTGCACTGTATAATCAATGCTGTTTGAGAGTTTGTAAGAAATGCACAAGCTCACTCAGGTGGGACTTGAACCCATGACCTCCTGCTTACTAGTGCAGATTTCTGAACCACTTGACCAGCAAACTTTCCAGGGTCAGTAGGCCAGTTCAAATCTGGTGAAGTGATCGATCCCAGAATCAATAACTTCATTGATGGAACTTTGTTTCAGGGAGACAAAATTGTATTTAATATTTTTAATGTAACTATGTTAAGTTAACTGTGTTTTGTGATTGAGTATTGTTCCTGTATCATGTAGTAAGCTTCAACTACCTGACGTGGCTAGCCAATGGAAGTGAAAGCGCAGAGACCACCATCATGACTACTTCACCAACTTCAAATCTGTCAGCCATTTTGGATGAGCTGAAGTTGGAGCCGGCACAAGTTCAGGAGGTTTCGGGCAACGTTGTAGCAGTGGTATGTCACAGTGTACAATTGAGAACAGGGAACTATTAGACCGGGTCACTTGGATATGGCTAGAAATAGCACACAGGTTTATTGGAAGTGGCTGCAGCCACTAGCCAGTTGCTTCCATAGGTGTGCGTGTTATTCCCGGCCGCAGCCAAGTGATTAGACGTTGCCATTGTTTGACACGGCTTGTTGCCATGGATCGACCAATCAGGATGGAGGATTCAAGTTTACTTGAAGATAAAATAATTTAATTAAAAAATTGTTTTAATTAAGGTCAGTGTCAGTTCGTAAAACCGAAAATGTACGGGGTGGGCTCTAAATGTGACGCGCTGTGGAGGATGTCAGTTCGTGAAACCCAAAATATCCCGGTTCTGTTAAATACGGGCGTGTGCAGCGCACTCACGCGCAACTGAGTATCAGTTCATGGTGCCGATGATGATATGGCCGGCTGAGTAAAATGTGGAAAATGCTTGAAAGTATTTTATCAAGATATGCTGCTTATAATCATAAAAATGAAGTGATGCCATTTCCAAGACTAAGATTTTAGGGCAGTGATTTATGTCGCTTTGTGAATGAGATAGGCATTTTGTTTGTTGATGGAATGTCGCGTATGGGTGATGTAAATTGTATTGTTATATCGTGTCTTTGATACTGTTATTTGATTGGTCTAGAACGCGAATGGCCACATGTCCAGTGTGTAAGAATGACTGTTTACTTCATATACAATGCTTTGCATACAAATCACCTCATGCGTTGCATTTAAATTACCTCATATACACTGTGTTGCATATAAACTACCTCACATGTAGGACTGGCCTGCGTGCCTCATGACTGAGAACTGAAACCGCTCAGTCTCATTTCCGGCAAGAAAGCTTGCTGTTATCAATATGGTCAAACTGGTTACATCGCAGTGATTTAATTTATTTCTTGAACTAAAAGCTTAACTTAAAAATCGTTATCTTTTTGACTTATTGGTATGGTATAACAAAACAATTGTTGACTGCTGTGATGTGGGATATGTCGTTTTTAACCCTTAGGGATGCATAATAATAATAATAGCAGGCATTTATATAGCACTTTTACGCCGCAACAGGGTATCAAAGCGCTTTACACCCCTCGGGTGTTAAAAACGGATATATCCCACGTCACAGCATTCAAGGATTGTTAAATAATTGGCATTTCCTGTCACTATAGTTATTGCTAAAAGCACTAAGTGCTGTTGTAGAGATTGTGGGACAAGTTGCAAGCTTACTTGGGATGGAACCCACACTATACTTATTAGTAGTGTAGCTTGAGCCTGCCAGGATTGGCATGCTTGTTTTTATTCAACTTAAGAGCACAAATAGTGAAGGGAAAAAACAAATATTAATATGTAAAGAGTTTACTTCCAAAACGCGATAAATGCCATTTTATTGCCTTTTCGAATCCCGCTCTCTCAAGTCAGTTTCGACGGGTTTTATAATTACAGTTTAACACAATTTCAGAAAACAATAAAGCGAAAATTGAAGTTTAGAAGCAGCTGTAATAATATTGTTTTTATTCTTTAAACTTTAAACATGCCTTGCTTTTGATCTAACACTTTTTGGAAATAATCTTTTCAAGTCTTATAAACCATTTGTAATAACTCCCCCTTTTTCAACCTTGTCTTTTTAAAAGATCCACAATGACTGGCTGACCTACCTGTTCAAAAATGGTGTGGTCCCATCAACAAAGGAGGTCAGTCTTCCACCATCTAGCTGGGAGAAGTTACCAGCTAGACCTGCATATGAGAAGGTGGGCAGCCCATGGAGGAAAGTGGACATTGAAGTCATCAGCAAGCCAGACTCAGGAAAGATTTTGTAAGTCTGCACCTACGCTTCTTTTTCAAAGTTTTGTTTTAAGTCCGTTTTGTATCTGTCACTGTATTTAGGTCCCTTAAGTCTAACCGCCCTGAATCCTTCAAAATCCTCTTTGCCAAAGTGGAGGACTTTGGGGGATTGAGGTTACATGGCAAAAGTGTGTTACTGATTTCGTAGGATGCACTTTGTCAAGGTCTTGGGTCGGACCTTGTGTTGTTTTTGCTCAGCCGTGCACAAATATAGGCCTGGATTATGCTTGAAATCCTCCGTACTGCTCCAGCATGTCACTGGCCTAGCCTCAACATATTGACACTCACTGCCGCAGGATTTTAAAGGATTCAGGCAGTGGTCACCCCTTCACAGACCATATTCAACAAATAATGGAGGAATTTGCAGGATTGAGGCTATATGCTATTTTTCCATGAGGCCAATTGGAGGATTTTGCAGTATTGAGGCTACATCCTAGCAAAAAGGCCTAGGGAGTTAGGGTTAAAGGCATTTAGGATCATTTGCACCCCTTGTAATGATTCTGTCTGGCTTGCTGTCATTTAGAAGAAATCCATAAATATAGGTGATTTCCAACGATCAATCTGTTGACTGATTTTTGGAATAAAGATCGAGTTATAACGGCAAAATAGCGTTTTGTGATCAATATTTGGCCATATTTTCCCTGTTTTCTCAAAAAGTGTAGTATTTACTGAGCTGAAACTTCAACAGGGTAGGTTTTGAACATTTTTCTTTGGATTTTGGGTGGTGTTATTATTGGAAACAAACAAAGTGCATGAACAGCAAATGATCCCGTCTTTAATCTATAGGCCTATCCATACCACAGACACAAAACAACGGCACCTGTAAAATGCACTTATTGAAAGTGTCTATGTCATGTATCCGATAGTGTTTATTTGTGACTGTTAGTTTTGTTTATTAGTAAGTTTGACGTCAAACTTGGTAGTAGATTTGAGGGCTGCTGTATAAATTCAATACATAGAGCAGTATTATTTCACATATTACAGTGGCGGTGGAAAGTGCCCCCCCCCCCCCCCCCAGTTGTACCCAAGTGCCCCTCTTGCTGATATAAATGTGCCCCCGAGCTTAAATGTGCCCCCTCGAGATGAAAACAAAACTTGCCCTAAAATTTTGGATAATTTGTTTTTAGTAACCATTTCCCAAAATGGTATAGAGAGTTCTGATATGAATGAGGAATATGAAAACCAAGCCCCCAAACCCTTACGATGCACCCTGAAATCTATTCCTGATATGGAATAGATTTTCACTTACAACTGCTTGCTTTTAGTTGAACATTATTTTTTTTTACAGTGTGCCCAAGATCCATCCCAAGTGGTTGATGAGAGGAGACCTTGGATTTGTTGAATTCATGCAGTGCCTGGCCAAGCAGAACTACCTCAGCCAATGGGAACAATCCTACCAAAAGTTTGCCAAACTTCAAATGACCAATAAGAATGATGGAACAACCAAACAGGTATAATAGACTGGCACTTGGCTGAAAGGCTTGAAACATGCTTTCCCATGGAATGCCATTAAGACTTTTTATTTTTGGGTGCTACATCAAAAAATCTTGGATGTACAAACCTCAAGAGTTTTTGTTTGACTGTAAAAATATTCTGTTTTTTTTTCAATGAAGTAAACCCCCCCCCTTATCATTTTCCAAGTGGAAAGCTGTTCAAACCAATTTATAGATGATTCTTGAATGCACCACTGGTCACTGTTAAAATCTTCTCCATGATTTTATTGATTATTTTTTAAGTTCAAAATCTGTTACAAACTCAAACCCTATTTTGAGTACATTTGTAGTAATTTGTTGTGTACAAATATTGAGTGGCTCAGAGCGGAATGGGAGGAATATCATCGCAATGTAAAATAAGTCCAGATTTTACCGAATGATAATATTCCTGTCATTTCACAATTTAAAGCCACTCAATATTTGTTTTATATAACTGACATATAGATCCTTGTCATTTGATTTACAGTTAAAATGAACTTCTATTTTTAATACAGAATTTGTGGGAAATGTATTTCTCTCTTCCAAACCACCCCTTCACAAAATGTTTGAACCCAACTCTGTAGCTACTGGCTCTTGGGAACAATACGCGCAACGCTCAACGCGCACACCAGCATGCATTTGCCCACAAATACCTCACCATGGAACAAGGATGATCCTAACTGTTGAATAGTAAATCCCATTCACCATAAGCCACGGCGTGAATGGGAGCAATAATGAATGTCACGTGATGTGAGTTCCACCAATCAAATGACAAGGATCTGTATGTCAGTTGTATAAAATGTGATAATGAAGAGTAAGACCATAACCAAGGGACCACATGTTGTAAATGGATACATGTTACAACATGGACCTCCGCCACAGTTAATTTTTATATTGTAATAATTTCTTTTTAGTATTTTTCCTTTGAGAAAGGTCCAGCCAGGATCTGAAACGTTAGGTCCTCTAATTGTTTTGATTTAAAAAAACTTGGTATTTAAACAACTTTTCATTTAGGCTACAAGTGTGGAACTCGGGGAAGCCATGAGGACAGTTTTTAATTGCCCAGTCTTCAAAACCAGCCAACTGGATGGATCCCAAGAAACAGAGAAGACAGCGCCTGTTGCAATGCAGGCCAGCCAAAACCAGCAGCCACAGCAAAATCCCAACATGGTGAGCGTGCTGTGCGTGGTGGAATCTCCCCGGACGTTCTACGTAATACGGCACCACGTCGAGCACACTCTCCATGACTGCATTACTTTCAGTCCCGCGATGCTGGGGAACTCTCATGCCAAGCCTCTGTTCGTCATCTACCAGATCTTCAAAGTATTTGACTATTGCCACCAGCGCGGGGTCCCCTGCGGAGAAGTGACCTTGTGGGATTTCGCCATGGACAAGAACCTCTGGGTACAATTTCGGGGTCCAAAGTGGAAGGAAATCGGGCGAGAGTGTTGCAACGGTGAAGCAACCACTGGAGAGTACAGAGAGAACAAGAGTGTTGAAAAGCGTCACGTTTCTACTCAGAGGAAAGAGAGCAGTGTCGATCCCATCATGTCTGATAAACAGTTCACAATGGATGCCCTACCGGGGGTTGTACTCCGCTGGGTCAAATGCGAACTCAGTAATTTCGACTATCTCATGATCTTGAACTCCCTTGCCGGCCGCTACATGAGCAACCCCAACCACCACCCTGTCATGCCCTGGGTCATGGACTTCACACGCCCAGACGCAGGTTTCCGCGACCTGTCCAAGTCCAAGTACCGCCTGACGAAAGGCGACCGCCAGCTGGAGTACATGTACGAATCCTTGTTGATGTCCACCTCTCCGACAAATGCCCCTGCTCAGATACCACATCACATCTCGGACACCTCCTCTGTGATCACGTACTACGTCTACATGGCTCGCCGGACTCCAAAATCAATACTCTGCGCCCACGTGCGCCCGACGTGGGTTCCTAATGAATACCCGTCCAGCTTGCAGAGACTGCAGGAATGGTCGCCCGAAGAATGTATCCCAGAATTTTTCACTGATGCAGAGATCTTCAAGTCGATTCATGACGATCTGCCCGATCTTGAGCTACCGTCCTGGTGTTCGGGGCCAGAAGACTTCCTTGCTAAACATCGGGCGGTATTGGAGAGTGATTATGTGTCCGAGAGGCTTCACCGTTGGATTGACTTGACGTTCGGGTACAAGGTTAGTTTTTCTCAAATTTGTTCTGACATTCATGCCTCAGTTTAATTTTCTACTATTTGTGCTGCCATGGTTCATATTTCACAATTCATAACCTAAAATACATCATTGGAGAAGTGATTTACGGATTGTGGATGATATATTTGCTTGATGCAAGCTTGTTTTCCAGCCAAACGCGGGGCGTGTTCCTCTTACGTGAACAATGTAAACGTTGCAAAATGATTTTCTCATTGGCTGTGCAAAACAGATTGCAAATGTTGGCAACATTTGCTAGAGTGGAATGCGCCCATTATTTATCTCCTGCAATTTTGGATTTTAAAAAATTTTGAGAGAAAATCTGGAGACTTTAAATAGCCAATGACTGTTTTCGTGAAACAGTCCTCATGTTGCACTTACAGCTTGTGTGGGAAATGCTCTGTAGAACCCATCAAATTTCCGTTAGTAGTTCGTTTGTTTTATTCGGCGAAGCGCGCGCAAGCGTTGACATGACGCACACGCGCGCGCGCTTTCTTTAATTCGTCAGATTGGTGCGTGACATCGCGTAGCTGCAATTGGCTCAGTGAGAACGAGTCTCGGACGCTGAATTCAGGCCCAATTCAAAACATGATTCAGCAACTTTTGATTAGAGATAGAGATCTTAGAAAGTTGTTTATCTCGAAATATGCAGCTGAAGCTTCATCAGGTTAGCCGTTCAGCACCCTTCTTTAGATTTTGAGAACTTTTGTTGCTTCAAACGAACAAAAAGCACAAATTACAAATGATGGACTATACCTTTAAAGGTAGAATAGATCATTTGTGCATTCGTTTTGTTTGAAGCAACAAAAGTGCTCAAAATCTAAAGACAGGTGCTTAACAACTAACCTGATGAAGTTTTAGCTCAGTGAAGGCTGCATATTCTGAGAAAACAACATTCTAGGATCTCGAAAGTTGGCAAGTCATATTTGGAATTGCGCCCGAAATCAGCACCCAGAAAACGTTCTCATTCAGCCCATTGCAGCTACGCGATGTCACGCACTGAACTGATGACTAACAGCAACCACGCGTATGTGCGTGACATCGTGTCAATGCTTGTGCACACCTATTCACAGATTTTTCAAATTTCCAAAAAGTGTCATTTGACTTATCTTTGGAAATTACCTCCTTTTATTGTTTTCTTCAAAATGACAGCATTCCAGAAGGAATAACTTCACAGGGATAGTGCCGTTACTATCTTCAAACCAAGTAAGCTTTTTAACAATAATTTAGTCAGTTAATTTTTTGGATAGCTGCAAATAATCTACTCTACCTTTAATCCAGTTGTCAGGAAGTGCTGCCGTACGAGCCAAAAACGTCTGCCTACCTCTCGTGGACCAGCACATGCATCCGACCAACCACGGAGCGGTGCAACTCTTCAACTTCCCCCATCCCCGTCGATTCGCACCTACAAAATATCTGTCGCCTTCCCCTCCGGCCGTATCGCGCAGGCAGCCCAGAGTTGAGGGAGCCACAGTTAGATCCACTGATGTCGAAAAGGTTGAGGTATGTAGCAGTGCTTTGCTCATGGTAGGACTGCTTATGTAAAGAGTAATTCCCTCTGTAGAGGTCTGGCATGTTCCTGATAACAGTCGGAACAAAATGTCGAGCTATCATCTCTTGTTCTCAAAATCAGGCCTCTTTTTTTAAGAGAACTGATGACAGTCTTTGCACATAGAGGGTGGTGCAAAAAGAAGGAAACTTACTTTTGACAGGAATTTTAACCTACTTACTTGACTTATTTAAGCTATTTTTATAATGTCGTGAAGTATAGCTCTTCCATCATACATGGTGAAAAAATCTTTAAAAAAAATCGCAAGAATAGTGTTATTATGCTAATTTGAATACAAGTCACCAAAATCACTGTTGTCCACGTGTAAGTCTAGTGTAGTGTTTTTGGCTTCATATCAAGCTCCAATGCTCAATAAAGCCGTCTGTGGACAAACAGGTTTGGTACATGAAATTTAAAACTACCATATCTCACAGACAAAATATGCATTTGCAATCATTTTTCGTCACTTATGTTTAAAGATCAAATATTTTAATGCCATTAAATTGAATTTTTGAAATATGCTCAACAAGTTGGTGAAAGTTGCTGTCAAAAGTGGGTTTCCTTCTTTTTGCACCACCCTGTAGTATATTCACAAACTTTTTCAAATATGCTAATTTTCAAATCAAACTGAAGATATACATCCTTCCTGCATCTTAGATTCTTATTGGACAGACATCTTTACTTACAATGATTTCCTCAGACTGCTGTTCTTTTAATCTTTATGTTTTCAGTGTTTCCCTCAGTCATATTATTCTCTTTTGGTAGCTGTACATATCATTGTGTCTGCCTAGTTAGTTTCTTTGCTTCTTAACACGAAATTTGATCTTCAGTTATATCACCTACATCCTTTCTACACTCAAATGGACCCAGCTTGAGCACAGAGAAGGGCATGTCCAAGAATTCTCGCACGCTGTGTCCCATACATAACGAAATTTACGATATTCATGGATTTCAGTGTTTTTATTCTACTGTTGGGTATCTACAAGGAGAATACCCACAAGAATTTGCATGTTATCAGTCTTTGAGATGATTATGTAATTAAAGAAAACATGGCGTTACATATTTGGCAAAAAGGGGACCTTTCAATGGACTTGCCCAGAACTAATAATCAATTCCCACTTCAGGATTTGTTCAGCATACGTAACTCAAAAGACGTCTTTTGAATCACAGCCCAACTCAGTCATAACCTCCAATATTCAGATATGTAGTCACCCACCCGTAAGTATATTTTTTTAATCTCCCTAATATTTGCAGGCTGTACAAACTGATTCTGGCACATCTACGTTCACCCAGACTAGGAGAATCTCAGATGCCAGCTCCGTAATGGTTGCCACCGAAGCAACCCTAGAAAGAAGCTCCATGGCAGGCCAGATGGATGCAGGAGGGCCCGGCACCATTACGGAGAACATTACTACCAGCTCTTCCATAGAGGTAAGGGGCTTTGGCCGCATCCGAATGACTTGGCTACGGCTTGGCATTACGCACGCGCCTATGCAAGCGGCTGCAGCCACTTCCCATAGACCTGTGTGTTATTTCTAGCCGTAGCCAAGTAATTCGGACGCAGCCTTTGTAACACCTGCTTCAGACTGGTACTTTAACCCTAACCGCCCTGAATCCTTCAAAATCCTCTTTGCCAAAGTGGAGGAATTTGGAGGATTGAGGTTTCATGGCAAAAGTGCGTTACTGATTTCGTAGGATGCACTTTGTCAAGGTCTTGGGCCAGACCTTGCGTTGTTTTTGCTCGGCCATGCATAAATATAGGCCTGGATGATGCTTGCAATCCTCTGTACTGCTCCAGGATGTCACTGGCCAAGCCTCAACTTATTGACAGTCGCTGCCACAGGACTTTGCAGGATTCAGGCAGTGGTCACCCCTCCATGGACCATATTCAAGAAATAATGGAGGAATTTGCAGGATTGAGGCTATGCTATTTTTCCATTGAGGCCAATTGGTGGATTTGGCAGGATTGAGGCTACATCTTAGCAAAAAGGCCAAGGGAGTTAGGGCTAGTCTAGAGTTGCGATGAGCGCCAGTTGGTTGATCCTCATCATTTGATGACTTACATTTGCAGTCATTCCTGATTGTTTGAATGGTTAAACTTAAAGTTGCATACCCCGTGGTCTTCAAAAAATGTATTTCTTCTAACGAACGTTCAATTTGTATGTTTGTTCAAACGGGAAAAAATACTTTATTCCAATTTTAGGCATGTGCAACCCTCTGAAAAATTTGCTTTCATTTTGCATTCAAATGATCCCACCGTGCGAGAGCTGAATTATTGTCTGGCAGCCAATAATATGAATTTTGTGAAGAAATAATTCAATAACTAAACGGATTATTTTTTGTTTTATATCCAATTAAAAGTGAATAACTTTTATATTGCTCGTAAAACGAGTGGAGTGTCATAGCTCAGCGGTTATGAGCACTGGACTCATGCTCTGGTGTTTCAGAGACAACAGTGGCGTGGGTTCGAGCCTGGGCCCGGACACTTGTACCCTTAAGCAAGGCACTTAACCATTCTTGCTTCGTCCTTCGGATGGGACGTTAAGCCGGAGGTCTTGTGTGTTTATATAAGGCCTAACGCACGTAAAAGAACCCAGTAACACTTATCGCTAAGAGAAGGGGTTTGCCCCATTGTTTCTGGCCTCCTAGTTATTCTCCCTTCTGGAAGTCCTTATGAGAAGAACCAACCAAGTACCAAGTAAAACTGTTATATTGCTTTGAACTTCTATATCTCTTCAAAAAAGGACAGAATGTTGCAACCTGACGCCCCTTTTTTCCTTTATATATCATCTCAGTAAGGGTCAGTTATTGCAAAAATGTTGATAAGACATGAATCTGGGACTGAGAAACATTTTGTTAGGAAATACTTAGAAAAATTTCCTGACTCTCTATTGACTTTGTACACAACCGCTGAAGTGGCATCAGGATGCAACATTCTTTCCCCCCGAAATGTATTTTTTGGGTGTTAGTTGCCTTGCAGACTTTTAAACCCAGCCCCCCCCCACCCCCCCCCCCCCCCCCACAGGAAAATGGGTTGAAAGAAAAGAAGCAAAATTACAATGTGAATTTATCATGTGAATTTATCAAGTTGTCAGTAGGAGCTGCTGGAAAGAGCCTAGAACATTTTTTCTCAAGATTGTAGATGAATTGTCTGAATTTTACATGTTTTCCCAACAGATTGCTACAGATGTAAACCTTGAAGTATCGCTGTCAACAATGGAGACAATCAACGTTATCAGTGGCGGAGGGGGCGGGGCCAGTAAAACCTCGGTACCAGAAGCCACACCCCAAGCGCCGTTGGCACCACCGATGATGGGCCAGCCTGCCGATGAGTCCTCCCTCCTCAAAAACCCCATCAAGAAGCTGCCATTTTTCAGGTAAATTGTTCAAAATCAGGGACAGTAGGTCCTGGAACAACCCAATTGGTCTACCAAACGCGCTTTGAACGAGATGATGTTAATCAGAAAGAACATTTAAAACTAGGATATAAACATCCACAGAACTATCCTTTAAAAAACTGGGCGTTTTTGTGTCATTCCTGTATTATGCCAGCGAGAACGAATTTTGGGGTCCACTTTTGAGACCCCATAAATTCAAGCTGTTTGGATGCTAGTTGTGATTTCATTTGTAAAGTGTTCGCCTTTTGCGTATGTTGAAGAAACCACATTTTTTGCATTGGTGATTGGTCACCGCTGTTCCTGAGACACACAACGTGTATATCATACACTGTATGAGAACGACACGAAAAACATATTCGTACACCGTCGTGTCCGATGTAAACAACCGGGGATTTTTCCTCTTTTCTCGGGAACGGTATCACGTTAGGTAGGTTTCCTTTCAACCACATGTTTGAAATAGGATAAGTAAACAATCCAAAACATGAAATTTTTGAGAATTTCAGGACCTAGTAAACTATTACATGTCACTATTGCTGGAAATTAAGAAAATGACTTAAATTTGCAATCTAAGTATCATGTGAGATCCCTGATGGCAGATCACACTCCCTCGCAAATTACTAGTCAGGTTATTAGTAAGTGGAGTGCCGTGGCCTCGTGGTCTGGAGCATTGAATTTGTGGTCTGCGGGTAATTCTGCAGGTTGTGGGTTCGAGTCCAGCCTGGGGTTGTGGTGTAAGTGCCCTTGGACAAAGCACTTATACAGGGTGGACACAAAAAGACGAAATCGAGATATTATTGCTAGTAGGGCACATGTGAATCAAAGGGAGATATCCTCTGTTAGGGTTGAATCTCCTCTTTAAAATGACACCCTGATCATGTCATTACATTAAAGGTTGACTGAGCAGTGACCAATTTTATGAAAGGGTCTATTTAGAGAATTGCGCCACTTTTCATGGGAGCTGAGATGGTACATGTATTTCAAATGTTTCATTGGCTCAATGAACGGGGTAACAATGATGTAGCACCTTGAGCACAAAAATTGGGGGATACGTGCGCTTTATAAATATATTATTAGTAGAAGTAGTAATGCAGGAAAGAAACAACGATAGAGGGTTGCCTTTACCACCATAGTAGCTTGTCACTCACCTTGGCCTGGACTTGTAAAGACTTGTGAGGACTTGATTTAATAACTGTGCTAATTTCACTTGTGTTGAAAACTGGCATGTTTAGGTCAAAGACTGATCCTCTGTTGGATGCTAAGCCGTCTATCCCAAGACCCGAGCAGATGACAATCTATCTTCCCGAGGACTACGACCCCCTGGCCTCTCTGAGTCAGCTAGAGTCGCTTTATTCTTTCTCATCGAGGGCACTGCAGGGTCTGCCAAGGGAACGAAATGAGGTAGGCTCTATCGGTCACTAGGCTCGGGCAATTTGGAATCAATTTTTTGTTTAATTGAGGAGGCTTTAGATTTCGTGTAGAACCGAGTGCAACTTTGACCGGCGAAAAACTTCAATGTTGACACTTAGGCCAAATAAAACAAAGTCTCTGGTTTCTGGTATGGAGCTTGCCCCAAAAGTGGTGCAACGCACGTTTTTTTTTTTTTTACTTTTTTTTCCGTCGAATGTCGGCTGATGACTGCAAATGGTGCCCGACTAAATTTAGTGCAAAATGTGTGGGAGCCCAGAGAGGCCACATAAAGCTTATATTCAATCGTAACCCCATGTAGAAACATGTTAAAATTGTGCAGCAGCAGGATTCCAGTCAAACCAGTGAGTTTGGCGGTTTTGAGACATCATCTTACATTGAAAAAAAACCTTTTTATTTTGCCGACGCTCATGGCTACGGCGACGCGCGCAGACCAGAAACCGGAGACTTTTTTTTTGGGCCTTAGGGACTCTGTGCACAAGTACCCTCCCAGTGATTACAAAAGTGTGCGCGCATGCTTTGCGACCTTCTCACAGTGTAACAAGAGTTAGCTGGCCAAAAATCCCAAGGCCAAACTGCCTCGGAGTCTTTGGTTGCCAACTGCAGCAGGTTACAACAGTGGGGGAATAGCTCAGAAATGGAAGTTTATGTGCTGTTATTGATGATGCCCAATGCAACTAGGTCCCACAGACTTTGCACCTTTTTTTCACCGTGTTGCATCTAGCTGGGTTAGGGTTAGTCTTGGCCTAAGATGCTAGTGATCGATAGTGGACGGTGCAGAGTGCGCCCTCTAATGGCACAACAATTAGACCAGCGGGCCTACTCGCAATAACGTCTTGGCCATTTCGTATCAGCGGTTTAACTTTTTCTTTATTTTCGACTTAGGCTTTCCTAGGGAACCAATCAGCGATCGAGAAATATCGCCCGACGGTTGTTAACATCCGGGCTATACATTGTACACGTGCGGTGACCCAGCATCATATTGTTTTCCTAGGGGACCAATCAGCGATAGCGAAATATAGCCCGAAAGTTGTAAACATTCGCGACGCAGTGATACCCCCGCACAACGGCGCGACCACTGCGGCAGATGGGAACTGCAGTTTTGTTCGAATTGATACAGACGGTCCTATTTACATAAAATGGCCACGCCCCCATTGCTACGAAATGACCTAGACGTTAGTGAGAGATGTTAAAAATCAATTATGCAAGGGTGCTACAGAACATTGCAACTTTCGCTCTTGATCACTGACGTCTTGGGCCAAGACTAGGCTAGGGTGAGTAGGGCCATGAAATTGAGCAAACTAGTCACAAATCCTGATATCATAGTAAATAAATGACAAGTTTTTTCAACGCTACAGGACATCGCTACTGATCTGTCCCTCCATCTCCTCGGTCGTGACATGCACGTCCTCGGCTGCCTCATCGTAGAACTCTTCCTTGCTCCCAGGCTGCGGATGCAGCCTCGTCACCGCTCGCTGATGGAGAGGTGTCAGGTCTTGAGGAGGGTCCTGGAGACGGAATGGCTGGATCTTCCCAGGTATTCAGTCTGCAAACAACATCAGTCATTAACTTTAACTCCTGGGGCATTTAGCTTGGAACCTTGCTTTATGGTCCATATTCCGGCACGGTGCAGAAAAGTAATCACAGATTGTTTGCCCTTTAAAGGCATTTAGGGAAAAAAAGGGATCATTTTGCTATTGTTTTTTTGTTCGTTTCTCAACACCACTCAGAATCCAAAGGAGAATGCTGAAAACGTAACCTGTTGAAGTTTCAGAGTGGATATTACTCTTTTTTGAGAAAACAATGAAAAACAATGCAAAACATTTTGATCAGGAATCACTATTTTGTTGATAACACTCTTAATTTTCAAAAATCACTCAATTGACGTGATCTTTGGAATCACCTACATTTTTGAATTTCTTCAAAATAACAGCAAACCAGACGAAATATTTTCGTGGGGTGTTTAGTACCAGTACGATCTTTAATCAAAGTAAGCATTTCGATAATAATTTGGTAGGTTACTTTTGTGATAAATGCAAATGATCCTATGTCCCTTCGATCTTCAAGAATACATTTCGAATTAGCATGATACAGTAAATGTTGTGTACATTGATATGAAAAGCTCCACTTACTTACATTACAGAAAATTTACCTTCAGGAAAAACCTCATCCCATTCATTAATTTTTTTACTCATGCATTTTATTATGCCCCGCGGCGAAGCCGAAGGGGCATACTGTTTCCGCCTTGTCCTTCCGTGGGTGGGTGGGTGGGTGGGTGTGTGTGTGGGTGGGTGGGTGTGTGGGTGTGTGTGTCCGGACAAATCTTGTCAGCACGATAACTTGAGAAATACTTAACATATGAACTTCAAATTTGGTCTGTGTATTGTTCTTGGTAATCCTAAGAGGCCTATTGCATTTGGGGCCGAAAGGTCAAGGGTCAAGGTCACAGTGGCTGAAACAATAGAAATTTTGTCAGCGCGATAACTTGAGAAATACTTTACATATAAACTTCAAATTTGGTTTGTGGATTGTCCTTGGCAATCCTGAGAAGCCTTTTGCATTTGGGGCCGAAAGGTCAAGGGTCAAGGTCACAGTGGCTAAAACAAAAGAAATTTTGTCAGCGTGATAACTTGAGATATACTTTACATATGAACTTCAAATTTGGTTTGTGGATTGTCCTTGGCAATCCTGAGAAGCCTATTGCATTTGGGGCCGAAAGGTCAAGGGTCAAGGTCACAGTGGCTAAAACAAAAGAAATTTTGTCAGCGTGATAACTTGAGATATACTTTACATATGAACTTCAAATTTGGTTTGTGGATTGTCCTTGGCAATCCTAAGAAGCCTATTGCATTTGGGGCCGAAAGGTCAAGGGTCAAGGTCACAGTGGCTAAAACAAAAGAAATTTTGTCAGCGTGATAACTTGAGATATACTTTACATATGAACTTCAAATTTGGTTTGTGGATTGTCCTTGGCAATCCTAAGAAGCCTATTGCATTTGGGGCCGAAAAGTCAAGGGTCAAGGTCACAGTGGCTAAAACAAAAGAAATTTTGTCAGCGCGATAACTTGAGAAATACTTTACATATGAATTTCAAATTTGGTTGTGTATTGTTCTTGGTAATCCTAAGAAGCCTATTGCATTTGGGGCCGAAAGGTCAAGGGTCAAGGTCACAGTGGCTGAAACAAAAGAAATTTTGTCAGCGCGATAACTTGAGAAATACTTTACATATGAACTTCAAATTTGGTTTGTGGATTGTCCTTGGTAATCCTAAGAAGCCTTTTGCATTTGGGGCCAAAAGGTCAAGGGTCAAGGTCACAGTGGCTAAAACAATAGAAATCTTGTATTTATTCTGAGATCATAGGGATCAGGGATTAATTCATATAAAACCTACAGAAGACACTAATGCTGTCAATTAATGAACGTTCCATGTGACCAAGGTACATGTAAGTTGATGTTAAAAGAGTGGTGTTGTGTCATGGGAACAGTCACGGTTGCGGGGCATTTGTGTTTGTAAACACACCTGACTTGTTTTAACTGGAATCACTCACAGGGCAGTACGGCAAATTACACGGTTGCTCCTGGAGATGGACACCAAACCAAACCCAGGGGATTTAACCGATTGCCTGTACAAGCAGGCGGCAATGGGTTTGCCTGATCCCACAGCCAACATGCTCCTCCAGCCTGCAGCTCAAGTCCTTGCCTTCCCCGGATACATGCCGAAGCTGTACAAAATGCTGAGCAGCTTCCCGAGGCGAGTCGCAGGTCCCGCCAGCACGGCTTCCAAGATTGACCTGAAGAAGCAGAGCATTGCTAAGATCCACCACGTCTCCAGGCACCTTCCTAAGATCATGCGCCAGCTGACAGCCGATGGAAGAGAACTCCTGTTCCCTCACCTCTTGGAGTTGTTCGACTCCCCGGACACTGCTCTCTACGCCTGCCTCTTGCTGTTGGACAAAGTGGCCCATTTCATCGGGCCCCAGCAAGCAACCCAGAAGCTTCTGTCCTGCTTGACTCGGGTCTACGACTCGGAGTTTAACTCCCCTAACTACATGCTGCTCTTCCACAAGTCCTATCTGGCGCAGCTTATGGTCTGGCTTGGGTTGAGCCCATTCACTGAACAAATTATCGGGTACGTTGTGGATGCTGTGACCGGCCTGAAGGAATGTCCTGAGTTCGGAACGGCGGTGGACGACCCGATATCAATCATCACAGAGGACAAGAAAGTCCTGCCTACCTCACTGAACGAAGATGGACTGGACCTGATCAACTTGGAAGATGTAGGGGATGAGGTGGAGATGCCCATCGATCAGCCAGGCGGCAACATTTCAGAGAGCTCGTCCAGCGATGAAGATGTGCCTGATATTTACCAGACATCAAGCAGGAAAACCTCCGAAAGTACAGATTCGAGCAGTCTAGATCAGACGGAGCCGATGGAAGAAACTCAAGAAGCTAAAGAAACTCAAGAAGAAAATTATAACGGGGAAAATATTGAAGAGGAGCAAGTGAAGAGTGATGATGCCGTCGAAAAGAATGCAACTGAAATGCGTATGACGCCTGAAATGTCGGACGGGAAAGAAACTGATGTAGCACCACAAGACTCTGTCACGGACACTGAATCAAGCGAACAAAACACAGAAACTGCTGCCCCTGCTCTTGCAGAATCCGAAACCGGCAGTGACCCAGAGACCAAGTCTAATCAGCCTCTGGCAAGACTCGATTCGGACGACCCGACGAATCAAGATGGCGCAGAGACAGCGGAGCCAAGAGTTGCATCCGAGACCGAACCTCCCACAGAAGCGGGGGAAGACCCCATGCACGAGTACCTCATGTCCAGTCTGACTAAGGGCAGGATGACGTCGCTCGGTAACCTGTCCCCTGGTTCCCGTCTGGTGGACGTGGCCGCGGACAGTGTGACGTGGCTCGCCCGTCGCCTGGGACCGGCTATAACAGCTACTCACCTGACGAGGAGGCTGCTGAAGGCTTTGAAGATGTGCTACATGGGATCGCATCTTTTGGCATACTGCGAATTGGACAGTGATAGCGATAGTAGCGATGGTATGTAACTCCTGGAGTTGGAAGCCTTAGTTCTTTAATGTATTTTTCCCAAATTGCCAAGAAAAGCTGGTGCAAACTGCATAAGACTGGCCTGAAAGACACAATTCATAAAAGTCAGAAGGCCTGACAGGCCTGGAAACTTTCTCAAGATTCTTCTAGGATCAAATCTCAGGCTTTCTATTTTTATGATCCCAAATTAGGGATGTAATTGATAATGAGGCTAACACAATTGTTCTTCGGTCCTTCAAGGTTTTCAATTGTTTTCAACTATAAGTCGTTTCCGGTAATGAAACCAAGGAATCCTCAAATCATACCAGGGCTGGACTAGATCTGCAAAATTTTCTTGAGTTTGTTTGCACCAAATTACAATGCCACCACATGTTACTCCTCCTGTGCAAACATTAACCCTCTGTGCCATGTTGTCCTTGAAATCAAAATCAATCAAATGACTGTTTTCAACAGTTCAGAGCTCCCAGCCTACAAAAAGCATGATTGACTGGCTGTGACTGTTTATGTAACTTGATACAGCTATGCTGACTGTAGGTGATTGATAAGACAGCTGTGCTTACTTCTTACCTGCTTTTGTCTGTTGACTGAATTTGACTCGTCACAGTGCTTGCTTGAAATGTGATCTGACTGTTTGTGACTAGCCGATGTTAAAGGCATGGCAGGGAAGAGGATTGATTTTTTTGTGACTGTCTGTGACTGCTCAGATAACAGGAGGGTTAAATCACATAAACCTCTTTATATCTTTACAAATATCGAAATTATATACATTTAATTCTCTGTTTTGGTGATTTCACAGATGAATATGGTGTGTATATAGAGCAGAGGACCGTCGTTGGGGACAGCAACGCCAAGTCGGTGCTGGGCTGCCTTACAGATGTGGCCTTACTCTATGGAGATTCGTTCATCTTTAAGCAGTACCTGACACACATACGTGAAATAGTGAGTTCTTATCCGAGTTGCATGCACGGTGTGTTTCTACTACATAGAGAATGCCAACTTCAAATTTCAATGAGTGTCTTCGTAGGATAACTGCTGAAAATGTTGTTGTATTTGAAACCCTAAGTCTCCAGGCATTATTTCGAGGAACCTTGCTAGATCCTCCAAATTCCATCAATCGGAAATCCGACTTTTTGAATTTTCCAATGAAATTTCCGATTTTCTTACAATGTGTCGAACAAAATTTGATTTTGTAAAAAAAATTTCACAAAATGTCATTTTTTTTCAATCATAAGTCAATGAAAAGTCGATGGAAATGGCACGTTAAAATCATCGCGAACGTAGTTTTAATCTCTTCACTAGTCGTTATTGGAGTTTTTCAAAGGTAGAGACACAGGCCATAACACTGATCGGAACTTTCTCCGGCTGGACAAAAGGTTAAAACATTGACAGGTGACATGGAAAAATGATATGCAATGGTACCACCGCACCGTACCGTCCGCTAGCATATGGCCGGTTGGGAACGGGTATAGCCTCGTGAACGATCCAGTGGATAAAATCATTATGTTGTGCGATTTTCGGAGGTTTCAGATTTAGTTGTACAAAATGCAATGCTTTAAAAATCATGATGATTATCTTGAAGATAGTGAAGAGAGCATTAGCGAAACATTTCACTGGCATTTGTTGGAAGAGAAAGACGATAATGCCTGATTTTTCCCCACATACGAATGCAAGTGGAGTAGTGGAGTTGTGTGGTTGAATCATGGACATGATTGAAGCACCATGAATCGAACCCACAACTTGCGAAATTCCCTGCAGACCACAAGTTCAGTGCTCCAGACCACAAGGCTACGGCACTCCACGAAGTTGAGCCCTGGTTGCCCAGCAAAACTGCCAAAGACTTGCCTTGAAGCTCACTCTACAAATTGCCTTTGGCAGAAATGGTGTATTCACCTGATGATGATGATGATGATGGTGCATTGTTTGTTTCATTTCATTCTACAGGTGTCTTCAGTAAGGCACAAAGTGAACCCTAAGGCGGAAGCAGGTCTGGTTGCCTGCATCGCACTACTCAGACATCTCCTACAATTCCTGACAGACACACAGCTCATGGACAAGCTCACAGTCAGTACAAACGTCTCCCCATCTCTATCCAAGAGTGCACATTCCTATTCTTTCACGTTGAGCACATGTGGCCACCAAAATGGGGTGTTGCCATGTTTTGATTACTTAAATGCTCACTCCGATATCACACGAAAACTTACTGTGTGCGCATGATATGGATTCAGCCATCGGCGACTGCAGTACAGGTTTTTATAGACCTGTATATGTTAGTGGGGAGTATAAGGCGTAGTGGTTAGGGTTTGTGACTCATGATCAGAGGGTCCGGGGTTCGAATCCAGCTGCTAGTCACATGTTGTGTCCTTGGGCAAGCCACTTCATCCCCACTTGCCCCTCTCCACCCAGGAGTATAAATGGGTACCGGCATTAGCTGGGAAGTAACCTGGGATGGACTAGCATCCCATCCAGGGGGAGTAGAAATATTCTCAGTCGTTTCTTGCTACTGAAACCGGAGATAAACGCCGGCCTGATGAGCCACATTGGCTCGCGACAGACATTACTTACTTTTTATTATATATGTTAGTGATCTCCGTGCTTGTCAGTTTCTACTACTCAACAAATTGGAAAGACAGCCAATATATGGCTAGATCAGTGTTGCAGTCGAGTCTGTATCAAAAGTCCGGTCAAAAGTAGATCACAAGTCCGACACAAGTCCAGTCACAAGTAACAGGGGATGAACAATAACAAAGGAAAAGCTTTTGTCATGATTTATTTGAATAGTTTTCGACTTGACTTGAGACTGGAGAACTTGTGATGGACTTGTAAGGACTTGTGATGGACTTTACTACAGCACAGTACACGCCCGGGCCCAATTTCACGGCGCTGCTTAACAGTTTAATAGCAGAAAAGTCGTGCTTTTTTCTTGGAGATTTCTGTTGTTACGTCACTAAGTTAAGCAAATTTTCCCTCTGAAGTAAGGGTGCCTTTTGTTGTGCTTATGCTAACGGTCTAGACAGAGGCTCTGTTAGCAGAAAATCGTGTGCTCAGCAGTGCCGTGAAATTGGGCCCTGGATATAGCAGGTTCAATATTTTGTTCATGTAAATTTCTTCGTTCAGTTATTCATCAATATGCAATTTGATGCTTCATACTTACCTGGATGTATTTTTGATTTACAGTTTATATTCAGGAAAATCCTGCAGCCCTTAGTCAACGTGGTCCAGTCCTGTCAGCTGAGCTTCCCCAGCAGTGGCCAGGCGAGGGCGGTCATCTGCTACAAGCTGGTGGACGTCATGACTGCCGTGGGGCTACGCATCGGCCGGGAGATGGCCAGAGAACACATGACCAGCACGCTGCAGCACTTCTTCGTCTGCTTCGAGTTGGTCCACGGTGACGGGCAGCAGGGTGCTAAACTGTCTCAGGGTAAGCTAAACTGATGGAGTTGACAGTCAAGTCATTAAAAGTCAATCACAAGTCAATCACAAATAGATTACAAGTCAATCACAAGTCAGTCACAAGTCAATCACAAGTCAATCACAAGACGATCACAAGTCAGTCACAAGTCAGTCACAAGTCAATCACAGGTCAATCACAAGTCAAGTCCTCAAAAGTCAATCACAAGTCAATCATAAATCAATCACAATTCGATCATTAGTCAATCACAAGTCAATCACAAGTCGATCACAAGTCGATCACAAGTCGATCACAAGTCAATCACAAGTCAGTCACAAGTCAGTCACAAGCCGATCACAAGTCAATCACAAGTCAATCACTGGTCAATCACGAGTCAATCACAAGTCAATCACAAGTCAATCACAAGTCAATCACAAGTCAATCACAAGGCAATCACAAGGCAATCACAAGTCAGTCACAAGTCAATCACAAGTTGATCACAAGTCTTTCAGTCTTTCCAGTGTTACAGGAATGCTCTTGTCATTGTTCATCCACTGTGACTTGTGAGCTTACTTGTGATTTAAGTTGTGATTGATGTGTGATTTAATTTGTGATTGACTTACGATGGACTTGACAACAAGCCTGCTTCTCAAAATATCTGTGTCGAAGAAAACATGCCAACCATTTAAATTAGAAAAAAGGAGAAAAAAATATAGCACAATAAAAAGGGGAAGGTTTCTTGAGGTGTTCTTTATCTTGCATAATATGATCTTGGTTCACAAAGGCTTAAGAAAGAATCAAAGGCAATCAAAACTCTTTAACATGCATTAAAAAAACCCATGTTGTTTTGTCATTTTTCAACCTTTGAAGCAGTTTCATCCGTGTCTAGATGTGGACAATGCACCATAAACCTTTCAAGTATTTGTAATGGTCCATCACAAAACCTGACACTTGGACCGTTTCTTTTGGAAAACTGGTATTTTTGGGGCTCTTTGGAAAGGACATTGAATAAGCTTTCAAATGGTGTATCAGTGTTCTCCAACATGTAGAACGAACCTGGCGCCCCGCCATGCTTTCTGCGGCGCCCGCCATGTTTAAGAAGTCCCCGCCAAGCTTTAAAATCCTGCCGCCAGGTTTAATTTTTTTGACTCTACAGTGTACATTTACAACTAAAATAATTGATTTCAGTTGTTTTTCCACACATTAACAATGTATTTCGATGTCATCCCAGCCCGATCGGGGTTGTCTTAAAATCTCGCTGAATCAATCACACGCACGGCCGGCCGTGCAAACACCAGCGATTCCCCGGCCCCATGCACCGTACGTACTATACTATTACCTACGCGCGATGTACACACACTGACAACTGAATCCCCAGTTCCGGAGTGTGCCGATACTTCAAGTAGCGACAACCCCGCCGCAAAAATATATATCTGTATTAGTTCACACACACACCAGCAGGAGTACGTACGGCAGATCTTACGTGCAGCCAACCGACTTTCTTTTTCTCAGTGCTTGCACGCGCGGTACACAATATAATACGCATTGATGTTTTTGTACGAGGCAAACGAGCTCGAGGCCAAAACACGCGTGCACATGGTGTTCCGATCATGCCGATTGTCAAAAGTTATAAATGGCGACCGTGTATGGGCCCGGTTCCCTAAGAGAACAAAATCCACTTTTAATTTATTTGACTTACCAAACTAGTTGGCGACATTTAAGAACATACAGGTAGGTCATAAATAGAGGGAAATTTGGGGGGAAAATGACGATGACAACGACAAAACGCAACATGAAAATAAAGATGACGATCGCACGGCACCGGCACCACCCATAAAATTGCGTTAAAAAAACGTAAGTTGTATCCCATTTTGTTTTTCAAAATTACAAAAAGGTGTCATTTGATCTGAGAGAAGTCTGCTTTAGGTTGAAAAGGAAATTTTTGAATGCTAAAAAAATCGGGGGAACTGGCCTGGAGAAACGCCTCAGATTGCACCACAGAGCATCTAGAATCCAAAATTTTCCCGGGGCCCTTAAGCGGGCCCCGGACCCCACGCCGTAAGGGATTCGCGCTCCGCGCTCGCAGGAGTCCCCGCCGACCCCAGCGCCAACCTTTAATTTTCAAAGTTGGAGAACACTGGTGTATATATAAAAGATGGGAATCAACAAAATCTGACGTGACAGTATTTTCAGTTCCCAATTTTCAGGCCGTGGAAAGTTAAGGAGATCAAGAAGTTAGTCATAAAGGTTTCCCAAATGAACTCCTTAGCCATGTTAGCAATGCACATTTCTAACAAAGTATTCAGAACAAAATTTTGGAGAATGTATTGACCACTTGTCCTAATTCCTAATTTATTTACACAAAATTCATCAGTGTTCTATGTATCAGGGCTGTATCTCAAAAAATGGCTGTGCGACTTTAGACTGGTTTTGTGTTGGAGGGTCACATTTATACTTGAGCCGTCTATTTACAAGTCTTAACAATGTTTCCTATCTAAAACACAAACCAATGTTTTCTTCGTGCCTAAATAGACGCTGAACGAAGATACAGCCATCAGTTCTCTCGCAGCACCGACAGCGAAGATATGTACTGCGAAATCAAAGTGGACTCTCAGACCAACCAGTACAAGATCGGCACCCCCACCAAGCTGGAATATCTGCGGGGCGAGGCGACCCGTTCCCCACCTCCTCTCTCCACTCGCTTGTCTGGTATGTCGGCCAATGAGAATCTAAGAAATTTGAATTGATCAGCTGCGCAATGAGCTCACGATTGATTTCACAAAACATGGCGTAGCTGCGCAACGTTTTAAATAATCAAAACATCTTGGACGAGGATAATAACCGCATTTGTAACGGCTGTTTGTGTATGTTCATTCGCTCATGTGAAACAGTTGTTGAATCACCTCCGCCCGCCATTTTGAAGATAGTTTTGTCCAACTTTGTTTTGGAATCGCGCACCAACTCTAAAAACTGTCTCACGAGTAAAATAGCAATTAATTTACTTCGAACACAAAGCTGTGAGTGTCTTGTATCAACCTTGATAAGTTGTGCATAACAGGCTTCACGACTATCATGATTTGCTGGTGCAATAGGTCATTTTCAGTCGCTATGCCACAACTGACGCTGCCTAAAATGATTGCATAAGTTACACCATAATTTGGTGCGCAAGTCGCGGCCAAAAGCACTATGAAACCTTCGTGAAATTGTCTTAACTAAAATGTTGCGCAGCGTGCAATTTTGCATAATTTACGCAATAAATGGTGGCGCAAGTGGACTTATGCCATTGCGTAAAGTTTTGTGAAATTGGCTGCTAGGACATAATGACATCATGCTTTCTTTACAAGGGTGCTTTCCTATGGGAGCCAGGCAGGAAGCTTTCTACTGGGTTTGTGCCCTTCCCTGACGTATTTTAATAATAATAATGTGGTGCTTATATAGCTCTTTATAGCAAAGGTCTCAAAGCGCTTAACAATTATTACCCCTGTTCATCAGGCCATGAGACCAGTTTCTGCAGCAGCTCGAGATCAGCGCATCCTGGTCTCTACCTTCAGAGGTACCCATTTAAACTCCTGGGTGGAGAGAGGCAATTGTAGGAAAGTGTCTTGCCCAAGAACACAAGCACCATGTTCCCTGTCGGGGTTCGAACCCAGGTACCACGGCACGGGAGTCCAACACCGCAATCGTTGGACCACAGCACTTGTTATTGTTCATCCCTGTTACTTGTGACCTGATTGTGCCAGGACTTGTGATTTACTTTTGAGACTGGACTTGTGATGGACTTGACTACGACACTGTGAACCCTTGTGTGTCTGCTCCTCTCCTCTGCAGACAACCTTGATGCCCTTGAGGATGTTCACAGCGTGGACCCGGAGATCATGAGTGAATTGAGGGAGGCCTTCAGTCCAGAGATGGCCAACACAGCTTACATTCCACTCTGTCGTCTCATTGGAAGGTATCTTGGCAAAAATCCAAAAATTGTTTTCACTCGTTGTACAAGTTGTGGCTTGCTGGGCACTAAAGATGCTATTTTCGAGTTTCACCTCGAAATAGATTTGTTTATATTTGAATTTCTATTTTTTTTAGTAAGGCCCCCCCAAAAAGTCTCCGGTTTCTGGTATGCGCGCGCGTCGCCGTAGCCATGCGCGTCAGCAAAATGAAAAAGGTTTTTTTTCAATGAAAGATGATGTCTCAAAACCGCCAAACTCACTGGTTTGACTGGAATCCTGCTGCTGCACAATTTTAACGTGCTTTTGGATGGGGTTATGATCGAGAAGAAGCTTTATGTGGCTTCTCTGGACTCCCATATATTTGCACTAAGTTTAGTCGGGCACCATTTGCAGTCGTCAGCCGACATTTGAAGCAAAAAAAATCAGGTAAAAAAAAAAAAGCCGCGTCGCCGCACCACTTTTTGGGCAAGCTCCATACCAGAAACCGGAGACTTTTTTTTTTGGCCTAATATGAAAGTTATTCACTTTTGAATGAGACATTGAATTTGAAAAAAACAATCCACCGACGTTTAGTTACTGAATTACTGCTTCACAATATTCAAATTATTGGCTGCCAGACAATAACTCGGCTCTTGAAGGGCAGGTTATTAGTGCACAAAATGAAAGCCTTTTTTCAGAGGGTTGCAGATGCCCAAACAAAACGTACAAATTGAAGACTCGTTAGGAGGAAAAAAATCCATTTTTTGAAGAGCATGGGGTATGTAATTTGTACTGGAATAGCTTTGTTTCAAAAACTAAGGTTGTATCTGAATAGTAATACATGTGTTTATGGGAAGTGGCATTTTGGGAGGCATTTACTTGTTGAGCGCCACAGTCCACTGGTTATACTGTGCAACTCAAGTGCAATAGTGGCTGGGTTAACCAATGGTTTGTGTTCTCAGGCAAGCCACTTTACTGCAATTGACTCTCTCCAATCAGGATATTAAATGGCACTGGTGAGGGAATTTTAATTTTTTTTGTAAATATTTTTTCTGGCAATGAAACCAAGGATTCCTCAAAAGTGTCCTAGGCACTGTAGCTCGCAAGACTGAAGAAACCTGTAGAGAGGAGACAATAAGAAGAAATCACAGTTTTAGAGGTGGGAGGAAAACTCCAGACTAATAATCTGGGGAAAACCCACGGAATCAAGTAGGGACTGAAAACCCAATCCACATGTGGACCAGGCAGGAATCGAACCCGGGCCACAGCAGTGGAAGGCGAGGACTGTATTAACCACTGCGCCAACCTGACTCCCCATGGTATGTGTACCGACCAGATTGCACTGATCGCGAACTGCATCATAGCCTGATGATCAGGGTTAATTATTATGCTGCGCTTCGAGACATTGACATAAAGCACTAGTAAGTACCATTTTTTAAAATCATTTGTTAGCATCCATATGGAGCGTATTCTCTACAACCATGACCTCATCTGGAAACTGAGCAGTCAGCACGAGAAAATGTTAGCAGCTCAGAGAGCCGTTGCTGGGGCAGGACAAAGTGAGACGGGTAAGTGACACCTGTGGTGTAAGGAGAAAGAAAAATGATCTCAGAGACGTGGATGAATCAATTAATTTTTGCCGGATCCAGGGGGCCGGCACTGTGTACTCTTTGTTATGAGCTGGGCAGTACTACAGGGTGAGTCAAAAAAAGCGGAACCCAAACCCCCAAAAATATATTTCATATTTAAAAAAATATGTAGCACCAAAAAGAACAATGACTGGAAAGCCAATTTCATAAACTAGTTTTATATGAAAAAGTTACTGAAATTGCTCAATCAGTTCAAAGAATATCACCATTTAAAGGCAATGACCCTAAAACCTGTCTCGTCCAAAAAAAGAATTTATTGTGTGTTCTGACTGCTTGTAGCAACACAGAAAATGACACAGAATACTTGTTTCAACAACTGCCAACAGCCGTAGTACACAATATCTTTATTAACATCCCTTCTTAGGCAAACAATATAATTTAAAATATCACCTTAAAAAAAAAAAAAAACAGGCCTTCAAAAGGACTTTGTCTAATATTTGTAACTTTTAAAATGAGGTTTTATCGCTGGTGATGTTTGAAGACAATTGTGACGACGATTCTTAAAATTGCAGTTTTGGATGAGAGAGGTTTTAGGGTCATTGCGTTTAAACGGTGATATGCTCTGAACGAATTTAGGAATCTCAATATTTTTTCATATAAAAGTAGTTTATGAAATTGGCTTTCCAGTCATTATCATGTTTGGTGCTACATATTTTTTTAAATATGAAATATATTTTTTGGGGGTTTGGGTTCCGCTTTTTTTGACTCACCCTGTGTCATTAAGGATTACCCCATAACACAATCAGTGGGCTAATTTCAGCCTGTTGTCTAGACCAGATGCTTGAAAAGACTTCCAGTGAAAAGCCTCTCTGAAACACTTGAATGTAACTTTGTATCGAACAAAAATATAATGCGAGCTGTCTTCTTAGAACCGTGGTTAATACTTGCCCTTGTGCAATGAGTTTTTAGAAAACAAAAATTCCATTGTTCTTTCAGGAGAGGCAGAGCAGAGCCAGACATCTTGGTTTGTGGATATTGGTGCTCTAGGTAAGATTTTTTTTTTCTAATTATAAAATTGGACATAGAAATTGAATGGAGCGGGGTTTGAACCTGTGACCTCAGATAAAAAGTGTACCAGTGCTCTACCAACTGCTCTATCCAGCCCTAGGTTAGAAGTTCTCCAGTTTGTCAAAGTGTTTGAGATGCGATCAAGCTTAATGAGTCGTTTGTCGACCATGGTCAATTTTTTTTTACAGATTTGAAAAGAGCACAATCTCAGCATTATTGCTGTGAATACTGCATACTGATACCATCTTTAGTTAAAAAATTGTGGAAGTTGGAACAGCAAGAGATGTGATGAAGTGATGTGATGAAATGGTACTATTTTGGCCTGAATCTCCAAATGAAAATTCCCGACAAACGACTCATTTAGCTTGATCGCATCACATTTGTTCAAGATTTGTTTTCTCACAATCTTCACAAGTGTATCTAAAAAAATGTTGCCGGATCCAGTAAGAGGATTCTTGTATTGTCCAAAGACTTGAAATGGCTTTTGTTTTTTACAGACCACAATGACGATCCCTTGCATGTTGGCAGTACACTGAACGCCCAGGTTGTCGGTAACCGCATTGACATTGCCACATACAGCAGCGACTCGGACAGCGCGAATGAGGAATCTAGCGCTAATCCGGTCAGACCTACTAGGCCTCTCAGGAACAAACGTCAAAATCCAAGGTAACAGTTTGGCATTTCAAAAGAAAAAGAAGAATTCCCTGAATTGAAGAAAACTTGCAATTGCTAAACAACAGCCTAGTATACTCTCTGTACCTACCTCAGGTTTTCAAGTATTATAAGCTTGCATCAAAATTGTTGCCTGAAATCTGTGAATTGTTCACCGAAAAATGTAATCTGGGATATTATTAGATGAATTACTTCATGTCATGTGAAAGCATTAACATGTTTAAAGGTAATTGTACAACATTAGCAAACATTAAAATGAAACTGCCAAATTATTATGAAATACCTTACTTGACTGTAAGTGAACAGAAGTCTTAAGCATCCTGTGAAATCGTTGCGCCTGGAATGCTGTCATTTTAAAGAAAAATTGAAATGTTGTATAAATATTTTTGCTGGAAAATACAGGCTTTTTTTGTTTTCAAATACTGCCCCTAATTGATCAAATTTAGTTAGTCCACATTTTGTTTACAATCGGTTACATATCTGTGAATGGGCGCAAGCTGGCTAAGTCTGGTTCCCTGGCCTGACAATTCCCTGATGTCTATAAATGTGTCCTTTCATCTGAAGTGTCAGGTCAGGGAACCAGACACCAAGAACAGGTTTCCTTAGTTTGTGTGTAAATGTGTTGCTTTACGATAGAGGACAGACACACAAAGGGAGAACAAAAGATCCTTTCAGTCCTCGAGCGTTGGGTCTTTTGTTGAAAACGGTCCTTGATCGTACAGTTATGTGCTTAAAGTCTATGGGAGAGTGTTATATTACAGGGACAAAGGGAAACGCAAAGCATTGTCCTCGGGCGTATAGAAACAAAGGAATGAGGATTAGGGACAAACAAAGGAATGAGGATTAGGGACAATGGAGTACCGAAGTGTGACGTCATTTAGAACCAGAAAGTGCAAACGAATGGAGTAGGCGCGCATGTTGGTTCACGGGCTAAATCACATGCTAATATCTTTCACATACATTTTGTGCGCGTGAGGTATTCACTTTGGTACTCCATAGTGGGTCCACGATTGCCTGTGTTTACAAAGATGTGTGTGTGATCTTATACACCGTGCCCTCTGGAGACATGCACACAATAGGGAACAAAAGATTGTATACGTCTCCACAGGGCAATTTCTATACATGAATACCTCTCCACAAGGTTTTCACGAAAAAGATATATGCATTTTACTCAAAAACTTAGAATTTCCAAGATATGTTGATTTGTCGCAAATGGTAGAGTTTTAGAAAAGGGATGTTAAGTCTGGATTTCAGCCAAGAAAATTAATTCTGGTTAAAATAAGAGCATGTTGAAACTGTACTTTCAAACTCGAAAACTTTAGTACACGAGAACAAAGATATGTCTCCACAAGGATACAAATTTCAGTATGTGTGTGTGAGTTTGTTTCTGCATTCAATAGGGGACGTTGAACAAGAGGACAATAGGGTCCCCAATTCCCGAAGGTCCCCAATTTACAATCGTGTACAAAACATACGGGAGGTCTTCCTAAAAAGTTAGTGTACAAACAAAAGAGGGACAATAGAGGGTCCCCGATTGCAGGCAAATACACACTTGGGTGGGGGTGTTTGTGTGTATGTTTTTCTGGCATCCACGATCACAAAACTTTAAATGGCGCAGAGGAATGATGTATTTGCTATGAAATGCTAACCCCCAAATTGTTCATTTCTGAAAATTACTGCAAAAGCGAATGCTGTATATTACCTTTAAACATCAGAAATTTAGGCAAATGAAAAGCATTGAATGAACAAATGAACATTTCGGCTGTTTGTCTTATGAAATTGGCTTTGTTGTTTGGCTAGGCACCCATGGTATTTTAGTTAATTATTTCTCCACATGCCAAATTTCTCTTCACGTTCATAAATTATATTTTTTTCCCTAGCTTGAAGATGGGAAAGAGTAAACGACAGTTGAAAGGAGGATGGTTGTCCTACTGGGAAAGCTACAACGGTAAGACCATTGATTTTATGAATCTCAATGGCCCGGGTTCGATTCCTGCCCTGGACAACATGTGGATTGGGTTTTCAGTCCCTACCTGATTCTGTGGGTCTCTCTTTTTTCTCAGACTGTAATTTCTCTGTTGCCTTCTCTCTACAGGTTTCTTCTGCTTGCAAGCTACAGTGCCTAGGGTGCTTTTGAGGAATCCTTGGTTTTATTTAATACCAGAGATAAATAATAAGAAATGAGAAATTATAATAAATTCTTTAAGATGTGTTCCTCTCCCACCCTATTTTTTTTTTTTTTGGGGGGGGGGGTGTTTCTTTTTGAATGATTTGTCAGTCTTCATGGGCCTGTTCTCTCACAAATGAAATAATCTTCCACAATCTGTTTCTGGATAATGTCTGCCATTAAACTTTTTTTGGAGCTATGGTAGATAGAATAGGATGGTTCTATTTGGAATTGGTATACTCTTTTGTATTTACCCAAATTTACCGGAACCAAAGAGCGCCCTTCTATTGTGTCTGCCATTCCCCAAGAAAGACCCCATATAAGTTTAGCACACAGTGGCCCCACTTTATGCAACGGAGACATTCTCTACAACAAAGGCCGGATTCAGAACATAAATTTTTGGGTAGCCAAAATTTTGTTCGAGGCCAAAATATGTTTTGTTCCCCGAAAAAGTGGGTCCACAGATTTTCCGCCCCAAATATGAAAAGCAAGGAGGGGCAATAGGACTCTCTATGGATGCCATGCATTATGGCGCAATGTTAATGCTGTATGCAGTGGCTGCCTTTTTTGCGATGTCACTAAAAAAGAAAGAACAAATCGGATTCGTTCTTTGGGGGCCATGGCCCCTGTTGCCCCCCTCCCTCTGCCCTTGTCAACAACATACATGTATCAGTCAATTTAAAGTGTACCCTGTGGACACAGCACAGTGAGAATTAGAGATAACTTATTGGCCTGAATTTGCAAGAGATCCATATCCGCCATTCAAGCGATTTAATTTACACACGTGTTCATTTCTTCTCAACAGAAAACTCACCCGACTCCATGCTGACTTTCAACCAGATCAAGTTGCAGACATTTGTTGGTAAGACATTCATTACAATTTTCAACACTGCTTGATTGCGTAAAATACACAGATGCAGTTCTCCTACAGAGATGGCCGTCTTTGAGAGAGACCTTTTGTGGTACCCACTGCTACTTCAGATTCGAACCAGCCAGCCGATCCCGGCAAGCTGGGTGGTCCAGTGGTAAGACATCTGTACCAGTAAGCAGGAGGTTGTAGGTTTGAGTCCCACCCGCGTGATTTACTCACTTTCACTCGGGGGTTTAACACACTGAGTAAACAATGTTTATACATCGGAAAAGGGCGAAACGTAATACTGAATTTACATCACCCCGATACAAATTCCATCTTATGAATAATTTTGGCTCTCTAATCGGATTTGTCTCTGGATGAACTCACAAGAGCTCCAGTTGGGAAGACAAACGGCGTTTGCGCACCAGTTTACACACGTATGTCATAAAGTGCACCTCTAAATATATTCTGAATGTACATACAACCTGAAGCGTGAGCGTCAGGCATTGTCGTCAATGCATTCAAGATTCTCTCCCAGTGTTTTGCCTAAAACTGTTCTCTTTGTAACTTGCGCATAGATTCTTTGTCAAAGCCCTACGTTCTTATTCACAGGTCACTCAGGGGGCATCAAAGCATTGTACGTCATGGACAACGAGAACACCTTTATGAGTGCCAGCAAAGACAAGACGGTGAAAATCTGGTCTCTCCGTAACCACGGCGATGGGTCCAGCAAATCCTTCTGTCGTTACACGTACCCGAATCACCGGAAGAGCGTCTTTGCTGTGACGTATCTGGAGTCGCAGCGGCTGGTCGCGTCTTGTGATGGAAGCATTCATGTGAGTTAATACACGGTACACCTAAATATTTTAGATTCCGGAGTGCTGAACTTTTTAGCCGGAATGCTGAACTTTTTAGCCGGAATGCTGAACTTTTGATTGTTTGAACCCACCAATTACAATCTACCTACAAACAAATTCAGATTGTTCTGTTCTTATTTCAGTTGTGGGACCCTTTCACCGGTTCGCTCGTTCGTCGCTACGACTTAACCAAGTTTGTGCCCAACCTTCTTGTCCGCATGCCACCCCCGAGCCCCGTTCTGGTTGTAGCCACCACCGAATCCACCGTCAGGCTCATAGATACGCGGAGCAGCGTCGTGCAACAGGAACTTAAAGTGGCCTCTGGAACCTTGGGTAAGACTTCAGGGGTGCGTTTTGGCGGTCATAACCAAGAATTGGTTCGATGGTTTCTCTTTGGTTAATTGTTTTGGGAATTTGAGTACTACATGATCATGCATAATTCTAATCCAATTAAAATTGCCGAAGAAATTCACAGACAAGAAACCACCGAACCAATTCTTGGTTATGACCGCCAAAACGCACCCCTGTTCATGTCCCCAAACCTTACCTTTATCGACAACTTTTGACATTTTAAATTGCCCGCAGCGAAGACTGCCCGGAGTTGTAGACCTTTTGCAAATTCCCCACATGAAAACTTGGTGTTATGTTTACAGATTTGTGTTTGCATTTGTTCCTGTTCTTTCTTTTTGTTAGGGTTAATACGCTGTCTAGCAGTCAGTCCAGGCAGCAGCACCTTGGGTGTAGGTCTTTCCTCTGGTGTTCTCTCCATGGTAGATATGGGCTCTGGCCTGCTATTGGGTGGATGGCGCGCTCATGATGGAGAGGTGATGCAGGTAAAGGTGGATTTCTAATCACAAGTCAGTCACGAGTCAATGACGAGTCAATCACAAGTCAATCACAAGTCAATTACTAGTTGATCAGAAGTCACATCTTTGGTTAAACTTGAGTCTATCACAAGTCGATCACAAGTCGATCACAAGTCAATCAAAAGTCAACCACAAGTCAACCACAAGTCAACCACAAGTCAACCACAAGTCAACCACAAATCAACCAAAAGTCAACCACAAGTCAATCACAAGTCAAGCAAAAGTCAATAACCACAAGTCAATCACATGTCAAATCACAATCCAATCAGAAGTCAATCACAAGTCAACCAACAGTCAACCACAAGTCAACCACAAGTGAATCACAAGTCAACCACAAGTCAGTCACAAGTCCATCACAAGTCAACCACAAGTTAATCACAAGTCAATCACAAGTCAATCACAATTCAGTCACAAGTTAGTTACTAGTTGATCAGAAGTCAGATCTTTAGTTAAACCTAAGTCTATCACAAGTCAACCACAAGTCAACCACAAGTCAACCACAAGTCAATCACATGTCAAATCACAATCCAATCAGAAGTCAATCACAAGTCAACCAGAAGTCGAACACAAGTCAACCAAAAGTCAATCACAATTCAATCACAAGTCCATCACAAGTCAATCACAAGTCGATCAGAAGTCAGATCTTTAGTTAATCGTAAACCATATCACAAGTCAATCACCATTTAAAAGAAAGAAATCAAAACATCTGGTCCTATCTCCATGAATTTGCAGATTAAAGCTTGCAGCGGAAACCGGTTCCTGACCTCGTCTGTGGATCACTCCATGGCATTATGGAGGGAGGACGGCACCAGGTTCTGCACATTCAGAGGTAAAATTTAAGATGTACTCTCCAAATTCAAATTGTATTTTCCAAACAAATTTAGACCTTTGAGTTTTTTTATTTTAACCAAAAACCAAAAAGAAGCCCGCTAGAATATGTTCAATTACATCTTCTTGAGATCTACTGCAAAGCTCGAGTTGGTAATTGTGTCATTGACAAAATGCAAATATTGGTCATTTTTTAGGCTTGCAGCTGGGAAGCAACTAGATAAAAGAGGAAGTGCAAAGCTTTACCAGCCATATGGTTGCGAAGGCGAAGCTTGGCCTGTTGATAAGCAAAGTTAATCCGATTACGTACTTAGACACTATAACAGAGTAGTGAAATTCATGCACCCCAAAAAACATGGCCTTTTGAACATTGTGTTTCTCAGAAATTTATGCCCAGTATGATTAATTATAAAGAAGAAGAAATTCTAAACTTCATGTCAGTGAAAACCGCCGTCATCGATGCCGAAACGTCAATACTGGTTACTGGTAAAGCTGACCTTCAAGTTGAGAAGAAATCGTTCGAAAACTTTTTCCAATTTCAACGAAAAGTAATGAACATATCACAACGATTTTTGGCACATTTTTAGCCTACTTGGATCATTGTATGGAAAATAAACCCTGAAAGTTGCTTGCATGGTTTTAAAACACATTTCAAATGTGCCTTTTGTGCTTATTCCCCCCATAGGAGCAACAGAGCCAGTACACTGCATGTGTGTTTGCAATGGACAAATTGTGTCAGCAACAACGTCCAATAGGATCGGACTGCACACCTCATTGGACCAACAGGTTGGTTCAACCCTCTAATCATTTTTTTGACAGTAAAGCTTCAGTCCATCATTTGCAGCTATCCAAAAAGTAACTGACGTATTTATTGGTGAAAAACATACTTGGTTGAAAAATAATAAGGGGTAAGTAAGCTGAGCTGAAACTTCATCAGGTTAGTTGTTGGAAATTTCCATTAGTAGTAGCGCACGCAAGCTTTGGCACGACACGCGTGCGCGGTTGCTATTATTTGTCGGATCGGTGCGCGACATCACGTAGCTGCAATCGGCTCAGTGAGAACGTGTCTCGGACGCTGAATTCAGGCCTAATTCAAAACATGATTCAGCAACTTTGATTTGAAATCGAGATCCTAGAATGTTGTTTTTATTGAAATGTATAGCTGAAGCTGAGCTGAAAGTTCATCAGGTTAGTTGTTCAGCACCCTTCTTTAGATTTTGAGCATTTTTGTTGCTTCAAACGAACAAAATGCACAAATTACAAATGATGGACTGTACCTCTAAAAAAAACCACCAAATTCTTACAAATACAAAACATGTGCATGTGTCTAGAAGTAAACAAGGTAACGCTTTTTGTGTCGTGAGCAAAAATAAGGGAATAATAGTATGACTGTTGGAGCAGTTACTATTAAATATCTGGTTTAAAAACAGAAGCCTGTTCACTGATAATTTTTTTTTTCATTAAGGTGATAATAGTATGCTGGAAAAGTTTCAAATGTGATGTTTAAAGGTAGAGTAGATCATTTGCAGCTATCCAAAAAGTAACTGATGAAATTGTTGTTGGAAAGCTTACTTGGTTGGAAGAGAGTAATGACACTACATACCCTGTGAAACTATGTCTTCTGGCGTGCTGTCATTTTGAAGAAAACAATAAAAGGCGGCCATTTCCAAAGATACGTCAAGTGACGCATATTTGGAAATTTCCGTTAGTAGTTGGTTTGTAGTTTGGTGATTCCGTGAATGGGTGCGCGCAAGCATTGACATGAGGCACACACCTGCGTGGTTGCTAGTGTTCGTCGGTTCAGTGCGTGACATTGCAAAGCTGCAATCAGTTGAATGAGAACGTGTCCCGGATGCTGATTTCGGGCACAATACGAAACAGGTTAGTTGTTGAGCACCCGTCTTTATATTTTGAGCCCTTTTGTTGCCTCAAAAAAAAAAAAATGCACAAATGACAAATGATCTACCCTACCTTGAAAACCAATTTGGGGTCTGGTCACTCATAATGGCCTGAGCCGGGGCTGTTATCGGTGACGAGACCCCTGGCCGGTTTTAGAAATCACGTTCAAAACTGTTCAACTACATGTACATGTACACTATTATTCCTATTCATAGATTCCTTGTTGGGTCAAGAGTCAAAACAAGTCGGAAATTGACAAATTTGCAACAATTTTGCTCAACCATTTTACTTCATGTTTTGTGAAATACTCTTCTGGCCATCATGGTACATGGTTCGCAGACGTGGTACAACACATCTCCTTATATGGAGATTGGTGCGCATGCAATGCATACTGCGAATGTGGTGCAGAACGCAGTGGCTGTCAGCGTTGTTTTACCGGCGGTTTAAACCCATGCACGTATTGGGCTTTTGACCAATAGGAATGTTCAAACCATCCTAGGTATTTATGAACGTCCAATAATGGTGAACAGAATCCTTCAGGTGGTGGGATAGACCTGCTTTTCTTGACCCTTTCTTGCCCTCTCCAATTTTTGGTAGTCAATATTGTGTGTGTTTGAGTGCTTGCCTACGTTGTTTCAATTGCAGGCCTCGTTCTCGAGTCACCGTGTTCGCTCGGACTTGGCTAAAGGGATGATAACAACGCTGGACGTCATGCCACTTAACCGACTGTTCCTACTGGGATCTGACAACGGCGCCATCACCTTGCTTGCTTAAAATGTGGAGGCTAGCCAAGACTAGAGTTGTAATCATGTTGATAACAAGTCAATAACCAAGTCAAGAGACAAGTCAATAACAAGTCAATCACAGGTTAATCACAAGTCAGTCACAAGTCAATCACGATTCAATCACAAGTCAGTCACAAGTCAATCACAAGTCAACCACAAGTCAGTCACAAGTCAGTCACAAGTCAGTCACGATTCAGTCACAAGTCAGTCACAAGTCAGTCACAAGTCAATCACAAGTCAGTCACAAGTCAATCACAAGTCAGTCACAAGTCAGTCACAAGTCAGTCACAAGTCAATCACAGGTCAATTACAATTCATTAACAAGTCAGTCACAAGTCAATCACAAGTCAACCACAAGTCAGTCACAAGTCAATCACAAGTCAACCACAATTCAGTCACAAGTCAATCACAAGTCAACGACAAGTCAGTCACAAGTCTATCACAAGTCAACCACAAGTCAGTCACAAGTCAATCACATTATTGATGGCCACGTGAGGCGATTTGTGCAGTACCAGACAAGACAAAACAAGACAAGACAACTCATCCACAAGTCACTCACAAGTCAATCACAAGTCAGTCACAAGTTAGTCACAAGTCAGATGAGCAAGTTATAACTGCCAAAACATACCCGAGACACTCTCCTCCATTTCACTACAATTCATATTTTGTCCTCTCAGTACAAAAACTGTAAAATTGCCAAATGTGTCAAAATTTTGATTTTGTGTATTTTTAGACATTTTTTTTCACCAAATAATCTTTCATAGAAATTTATCTGAAAAAGTACCGCATTAAAGATTGGACAAATGTGATGTGGTCTATAAAAGTGAGCTTTTACTTATCTCAGATAGCGTGTATTTAATGGAGATTATCTTAGTCTGTTGAACATGACATGTCAAAAAAACGTATGCCAATTCCAGCATCATTACTAATGCTACATATCTAGGATATGACATTCAGGGATCATTAAGACAGAATATGTCAAATTCTTATAACAAATTCTTTGTTTCGGTTATAAATAAAAATGTACATATTAATGAACACAGCTGTTACATAATATTATGCAAAAGCTTTAGTGCTGTAGCTGTTTAATTATTATGCAAGCATTTTATCAACTCAATGTAAGGTTTGTTAAAGATGTACTCTCCGTGCTTTCCTACAGACTTGAGTTTTGTCTGGACATGTTTCCAACTTTTATATTCTATTTTTACCCCCCCCCCCTCCCCAGCATCTGCAACCCTCTGAAAAAGGGCTTTTACTTTTGAGTCGGTTTTGTGCGCTCTGAAACATATCTGCCTTGTGAGTAGACTGGTTTCCGGTCCCTACATTGTTCTGATAGGGGCGGGAACTAGTCTTCCGTGCAGGGTGCAGACCAGTAAATCAACTGTCATAGACCCGTGATAACTACGCCCACTTTCTAAAATTAGGGGAAATACAACCCTCCAAGGTGTTTGAGACACACATGAAATCAAAGCTTATTTCACCATCTTTTATTTTCTGTTCATTTTTTTGGGGGGTCAACCAATTACTTTGGGGGAAAAATTTACATCCAAAGAATCACCCCTAAATATAGTTTTGAAGCCCATCGCCATTTTGAAAAAACGATGCCTATGCTCCATTGCAAAATAGAGCTTTTTTAGGGCTCAATTTCATCCAGATTTCACAGGAACACAAAGCTCGCAGTTGTATCCATGCATCCAACCGTGTTCTTTTACAAACCGTCAAGTTCATGGCTCACAAAATTCTCTGACAGCAGAAAATTGCGGGCATGCAAATCGTGATCTGGACTGCGTAGGCAATTTTGGGCCTATTTACTGGCCTACACCCCGCAAGAATGGAAATATTGTTAGTCATCCAATAATTAAAAATGTGTAAAGTAATAAGCCTCTGTACTAATGACGTCACACTTTGTTTACATGTGCACTTGTCTATGGAGGCAGTGGGGGCCCACGGTCCACTGAGACTTAATTAAGTCATGGTGTAGTTCGATGGTGTGTGTAAGTTCATATCCCACCGCTTGCCACCAGTGTAACGTCTCTGTTGGGTGGGAGACATTATCGTTGTCACGCCCCAACTATCGCATCGGTCCCAACTATAGTTGGGACTGTCCCAACTATAGTGCGGCAGTTGGGTCGGCCCAACTATAGTTAGGACTGGAGTTGCGCCGGATGCTTCATGCTTGATAGATCTTGTTGGATGTTCCTCGGCGCTGGCACCGTGTATTCGTCGTGCATGCATATCCGCAAGGCTGGCCGGTCACGTGGTACTGCCTAGTTGGATGAGTTGTCCAGCTGCTGGGTTTTATTATCCAGCAACATTTTGCAAAATTCAAAGATTGCCATGGCCGGCCAACTATAGATGGGCCCCACCCATAGCTAATGTCAAAGGTCCCAAGTCGGACATGTAAGCAGAGCTGTAGGGAATGTTTTATAATCGTACATCAATGTAAACTATAGTTGGGACTGCCAAATAAAAATATTGCGGTGGCCCAACTACAGATGGTCCCCACCCATAGATCATTTCATTGGTCCCCAGTAAAGGCAGATTGTAGGGAATGTTTTATAATCGTACAACAATGTACACTATAGTTGGGACCGCAAAATAAAAAGATTGGGGTGGCCCAACTATAGATTCGCCCCATAAATAGCTAATTTTAGTGGTCCCCAGTAAAGTCAGACGTGTATCAGAGCTGTAGGGAACGTTTTATGGTTGTACATCAATGTAAACTATAGTTGGGACACCGCAAAATAAAAAGATCGGAGTGGCCCAACTATAGATGAGCCAGCCCAACAATGGAACTTACAGTTGGGACCGTCCCAACTATAGTTGGGACAGGCCCAACTATAGTTGGGCCAGCCCAACTGTGGAACTACAGTTGGGACAGGCCCAACTATAGTTGGGACAGGCCCAACTATAGTTGGGACCGATGCGATAGTTGGGGCGTGACATCAATAAAGAGTCAGATACGATACAATATCTTACACACACTATTCTCTACTGTTTTATTCAGGAATATTTACATCTCAATAGAGGGGGCACTATATGGTGGGGGTCAGATCCCAGACCATCAATGTTACATGATACGTGTAGGAGCTCTGCCTAGGTCAGAGCCCAGTTCACCAATAACCAAAACTGCTATTTCTACGTGCTTTATATAGAGAATTGGGTGCGAGTCTTAGCCAATGGACTGGATTCTGGTAGTCATGAATAATGCATACGTGTACAAAGGCATGGGGAAAGTTCTCTATGAGAGATTTGTACACCGGCTGACGGCACAACGTTCTCAACAATGAACAGCATGGGTTCCGCAAAGGTCGATCGTGTGAAACCCAACTCACCCTGACCGTAAACGACCTTGCTAAAATCCTAGATAACCAAGGGCAAGCCGATGTAATCATCATGGATTTCATCAAAGCGTTTGACCTAGTTCCACATCAGAGATTATTGTCAAAGCTGAAACATGTTTGGATCTCTGGCTCTCTACTCCACTGGATCAACAGTTTCCTTACAAAAAGATCTCAACAAGTAGTCCTAGAGGGCAGTTCATCTAGTTCAATAGCTGTGACATCAGGAGTGCCCCAGGGCACAGTTCTTGGACCGCTACTCTTCATCTTGTATCTCAACGACCTTCCGGAAGGAATCTCATCTCAAGTGAGACTTCTGGCAGATGACTGCATATTATACCGTGAAGTCCAAACTCCAGAAGACAACAAGAAACTACAAAACGACATTGATACCCTTTTGTAACTGGGAGTCTAAGTGGCAGATGCGATTTAACGTCACCAAATGTTACGCCCTGCACATGACCCACAAAAGGAAACCTCTTCTGTCATCTGAATAAATCCCCGTCATCTGATTGGTGAATTGTAGGTCACGTGACATATTATTCGGTATAATGTACGATGCGACCATTGATCTGTGTATATGGAGATCAATGGATGCGACCATGCTTTATACCCATGCGTTATACCGTTTCACTTTGCGCTTGTTCCATGACGCGGTATTTGCGTGCAAAATGCATGCTGGTGTGCGCGTTCAGCGTAGCGCGTATTGTTCCAAAGAGCCAGCGCTACAGAGTTGGGTTAAAACATTTTCGTGAAGGGGTAGTTCAACATCTTTAAAATCAAAATTTTTTTAAATTGTAGTTTATAATTTACCAATCAAATGACGAGAATTTATTCAGGTGTTGTATAAAACAAATAAAGAATGTTTTACGTTCGTGCGATGGAAAGAATAATTTCATTCGGTGACAGATTGAATGTTCTATTCCACTCGGCTTCGCCTCGTGGAATAGAACATTCAATCTGTCACCTCATGAAATTATTCTTACCATCGCACTCACAAACATTCGTTATTTGTATATTATACAACACCTGAATAAATTCCCGTCATCTGATTGGTGGATCGTTGATCACATGTCATTGATTAATTCGTACCAACGCACGGCGCGCGCGTGCATGGCGCGCAGCGCACAGTGCAATGGAAGTTCTATTGCACTATGAATGGAAGTTCTTTTGCACTGTGTCACTGCTGCTGGCTGGTGGTGGCGCTGTTTTAAATCTAGATAAATTGAATGTGATTGTTCTCAACCTGTTGAACAGTTTGCATTAATATAAATATGATGAACTTGTCGAACTTTTAAACAGTTTTTAACCTGAAAAAAATTGGCTATTAAAAGTCAACCAATCAGATGACAAGTATTTTTTCAGGTGTTATATAAAACAAATAATGAATGTTTCACGTTCGTGCAATGGAAAGAACCGAATGAAATTATTCGCCTCGTGGAATGGAACATTTCATCTGTCACCGAATGAAATTATTCTTACCATTGCACTCACAAACATTCATTATTTGTATATTATCTTCAAGCAAACTTGTATCCTCGATCCAAGAAATACATTTAGAATATAACCTTCCATTTGCCTATTAAAGCATATAACTTATTGCTTCAGTCTACAATCATTGGACATTTCATAACTTGAAAAACTTTTTTTCTTGCATATCTTGCTTCTCGAAATTGAAAATAAAAAAATTGTCCGTGTATCATCCATGGATTATAACTATTAT